AGTAGGTCTGAGAATCGGATGTAATCTATTTTTCATCCCCCTAAATGTTAAGAGTAATCCACCCCTATTTTTTTTTTATTTTTTTTATGATACATCATACAAAAATACATACATCCCTAAATTTTCAACTTTCTACCACCAACCCCTATTTTTTTATGGCGGTACGAAGTTCGCTGGGTCAGCTAGTATGGTTATATATGGTTAGATACAATATACAAAACCACGAGCCCAACACCGGACATTATTGAACTAGCAAACATCTTGTGGTGAATAGAAATTTATCGGCCATTGATACGTATCACTGTCCAATACACCGTCACACCCGGGCGTCAGTCGCAAGCTTGTAGCGTGTGCGTTCAGTGGGACCGCGACGCGGCGCACAAGTCGCGCTCCGTGGACAAGGCGGCGCGCCTGCTGGGCGCCGACTCGGCGAGACTGCTGGACGGCACCAAGGGCCGGCAGATCGTACGTACGACACAAACTATCCTACCTACTTCGCACAAAACAGCGCCATCTATTAACCAAAGCAGCGTACTACGAAATTCCAAATTCACCCTATTGATTAGCATTATTATAGATGAATTCATCTCATTCATACACTTCGCTTAAAGTGTGATTCAAACTTAATAGAAGTTATGATTTTATTTAGTTTTTTAAGCATTTAACTGCTAGATGTTTAAATCTAAAGAAAAGTTTACTAGAAAAAAATCCACGCGGACCAGGCAGCGGAAAAGTATTCATTTGACATTGTGGCTTACCTACAATGCGAAGAGATGGCGCTGCCTTGCAGCTTAAGGCTAGGAAAATTTCACGCGGCTAATAGGGCCGTGGTAGCATAATGGTCAGTGCATTCGCCCGGATAGCGAAGGATGCGGGTTCGAGTCCCGTCCGCTGCCTGGTCCGCGTGGATTTTTTTCTAGTAAACTTTTCTTTAGATTTAATAGAAGTTGTGAAGTTGCGGCCAAGGATAACGAATTTTTTATAGTTCTAGGATCGCGCGGGGTTTTACTGGATTGAATCCTGCGCATAGTTGCCCTCGCTGCTGTAAACACAACTTCGCTATAAAGTTTGAATAGCACATGTACCTACTTCTCGTAGCTATTGGCATTTGCTTATTGAAAGGAGATTGCTCAAATTGGCCCAAATGTACAAAAAATATTGACATATACGGTAATTCTTGGCGTAATTTATACTTTATTTTACAGTCATTAGATTTTAACGGACACCTTAGTATAATATATTCATTTTAAAAAGGACTTTTAATTTTACCGGTTTGGAAAACATACGAATCACACAGTTTCTGTCACAGAGTACCTTATTATAACTGGAAATGCATAGATGATACCTGATTTTTACTCTTATGCATTAACTTAAATAAACAGGCAACTATCTGTTAATCTGCCTGCTCTATATACCTGAATATAATACTTTATTTCGGTACTTGGCTTGATTTCCCTAGTTTACTATATAACTTATTTGTTTTTTATTATTTTAATACCCCTGTATCTATTTACAAACATAACCTCAAAATCATTCAGTGTATATGGTTTATAGAAGCTCTCAGGGGTGTCCGTCAATAATATTTGTTTCGACAGTAATTTATATGTAATTTCGAATCTAGGAAACAATTTTTCATAATTATTGGTCTTTAGGCCAAACATGTATGGAAGCTGAGCAATCTCCTTTGACAGTAGACTCTCCTTTCCATTCCCTATTATACTGCTGTGAAATTTACAAATAGCCAATACGAAAAGTCGTAGAAGTGCAAGCATCGTACGTTCAAACACGTAACGGGAATCATGTAGATGAGGAGTGTAAGTGCGATTTTTTTAAGAGCGCCATCTATTAGTAAAAGTAGAGTACTAAGATAATATTTCGAATTCATATAAATTCTAATTCTTCATCCAAATTAATGTCATTCATACATGTATTGAACAAGCGCGCTTATGCTTGGACGTTCCTTATTAAAAAAAGCTACGATAATCAAATACTGTACTGTACTTATTTCCACGTAGGTATTATAAACCCTATAAAATACAGTAATGTGAACTGTTTAGTATAATGCGATAGATCTTTATGATTATACAAACCTGGTTATAGATGGATTCACTGTTCCATAAAGAAGTATTAAAATCTTTAAAATGTTGTATGACTAGTGCAGATAATAGTGAAACTCGTCTATTAAGTCAGATAAGCTTTGTTCTATATATTTTAATGCTTATGATTAAAGGACATTGGGCAAAAATGTATGGACGCTGCACCCACGTCCGCCACGGCTTAAACTACATTTGTTTGAAAGGTATTATAGTCATGATCATATATGACAAAGCGCATCAAATTCCATCCCGGGGGTCTTTAGATAAAAATCAATCTAGTGACAGGGAGGGAGCGCACAATCACAACGAAGTAAGACGAGTCGACTATTTGCAACTGCAAGTCCTTCATCCCCCGTAAACCGTTTTGAGGTGGCTCAATGAGTGAAGCGCATAATGGTAGGCAGGCTTTGTCGTATATCTGGTTGTATATAGTATGATATGGCATATTATTATGGTTACTTATAATATAAAATGAAGGCACTATAAAGTGAATTTATTTAGCTACTTAAATTTTAAGTGAATTCACTTTACATGGGCATATTTAATATGCCCATGTGTCATATCTTTTGACTGCCAGGATATTTTTTTACGGTGTCATAATAAAAAAGGCTAGTTTTTCATAGATCTTTCGATTCATACTAATTACATTGTTGGCGGAGCTGGGTGTGTTTTGCCCATTGTCCTTTATTGCTTTTTATAAGCTACTGGTGTATCCCACGGTGCGTGATTGAACCAGCCTGCATTGACGCACTGAGGTAAAGGTATCGTCCGTGGTATCGCAGACGTCCGTCGCGGTGAGGAGATATTCTCCCAAAGGCGCGCTCGTTAAATGCGACCGTGGTTGCCAGCAGTGATTTTCAAATTTACGCTAGAAAAAAACATAGATTTACGCCATAATTATACTTTTTCAGAAAAAAATAACGCCACAACTTGTTCTGGAAAATATTTGAATATTTAATAAATATATGTTTATTCGTGAAAGTTATAAAAATATTTGAAAGAAAACAAAATCATCACGTTTCATATCACGCAATCTGAAAAAGAAAAATGTTTAAAAAAAAAGCGTTTGTTTCATATATAAAAACAGAAGAACAGGAGACATTAAAAAAAAACAGGAACTCTTCTGTCAAATCAGTATTTCTGGAAACCCCAACCAGTGATTTCGAATTACAGACAAGCACTCACTGTGGTATAAGTCGCGGCACGAAACTAGCGCTGACCGTTATTGCGCCTTAGATTAAAACATAAAGTGTAGATACGGTACGCTCCTACTTGCATCAATCAAAAACTGATCCCACGGCAGCGCGAACGGGACGGCGAGATCCGCGTCACTGCATTACCGACCCGAAAGAAACAGCACGTTAAGTTTCAACGGCAGCGCGAACGAGACGGCGAGATCCGCGTCACTGCACTACCGACCAATCACGCGACCAGTACTCGACGTCACTACCGAATATGAGTCAAAACTAACGAATTTTTATGAAAAAGTATATTTTATAGTACTTACGAATGAAAAGTGATGCCGTGGGTTTTATTTTTAGTTCTTGACCAATTTGAGCACTTTTTAAAAATACACTTAGGCACTGTTTTATCATATAAACACAAAATATTGGCAATATTTCTTTTTGGCGTTCACATGTACGTCGTTTGCATGTCAAGTTGTGACTAAAGCGATTAGGGTCGTGGACCACAATTTAGGCGGATCACTTTTGTGAGGCTAATGCCGTATCTACCCTTTTTGTTTTAATCTAAGTATTGCGCCGAAGTAAAAATTACGATGTGTTGGCGGGAAATTTTGTCTCTCCAGTCGTACCCATGCGCAGCTATCCCCCCAGCATTTTGTTCAGTGCCAGAGTTACGTTCCGCGACCTGGGGGCCATTCGCCTAACGGAAATGCTTTGGAAAACGCTAACGCTTTCGATTTTATTTTGTTATATCTGACAGCCAAAGGTTTTCAAATACCTCACGCTTATTTTTTTAAAATATTTTTATTGCCAATGCAAAAGAAAAAAAAGAGCACGAGGCATTTGAAAACCTCAGGCGGCTAGAAATAACAAAATGAAATCGTAAGCGTTAGCGTTTTCCAATGCATTTCCGTTAGGCGTATGGCCCCCTGTAAGAGCCATGAGCACGGTGCGCACCATTCCGTGATCGTCGGCCGTGCTCACGATAATCCTTCGAATCACGCACCGTGGGAATGCACCATTACCTGCACATACAAAATATAATTTATGTAAAAACTAATTCTATTCATTATTTTTATGCAGTCACATAGAAGCTTGTGAGGTTAGTAGAAAACAATGTAAATTATGTATATCGTACAATCAATTATTTTTACAATTTAATACATTTAAAAATTACGACGAACTAAGACATTTACTAATAAACATCAGAACTAAGGTGAGTCCCAAATCATCAAAAACAACAAGGTCTTCTAAGTATAATTGATTTTGAGCTTAAGTCAAATGCAGTGTTTAAATTTTCTCTCAAGTATGTCTGTTACTTGTTATGCTTACAAAAGGGACTTACATGGGTCTTACACAAAGACTGTCAGATAATCATTTAGTTGTTGATCCAATCAAACTCTTCAAATGGGGTTTTTATTAAGTGCCGTGATTTATTATTATTCCTTATGAGACATAAGCACATCCTTAAATTGTCATAATGCGGATAAATATACGGTTTTCTAAAAGTGGATTTATAGAAATTGATTCTGTTTCTAAATAAATCTAAATTTTATTTGACTAAAATTAGTCTATGATTAATTGTTACATTTGACAGTTTTTTCTATACTCATATTTTCCTATTTTATGTCAACGACACACAGTGAGAATAAGTTCCACGTTTCGCCGAAAATTTTGATTGGATTTTAAACTTTCGAGTGAAATACAAGGCTTCATCTAGGTGGAGCTATGCGTCGAAACTCTTGGCGAAGCGATGACCTTGTTGGCCCGCGACGACGTAGGGCCAGTGGAGGCTGATAGGGGCGAGTTGGCGAAACGGCTGTTGCCAACTTTCTTCCACACCGCCGACGCGATGCTAAAGGAAAAGAAGACAGATGAAAACTCCTCAGATGACCCGCTGCTGGTATGTTGAATCTTACGTATTAGGAAAATCACTCGTCGAAAATCACTCTGACTTTTTAAATTCAAATTCAAACTCATTTATTCAGTCTAGGCTGTTACAAGCTCTTGTGAAAGTCAAACGCTACGCCATCGGTTCGTAAATCTACGGTGGGAGACCTTGTACTGAGAAGAACCGGCAAGAAACTCAGCAAGGGCTATTTTTTTCTCCCTGTTTTGTTTCACACAGTGTCGTCAATTGAAAGATGACATCAAAAATTGAATACATGTGTTGATGTCAACTTCCATCACATTAATATTATTAATTAACAAAAGTTAAGTATAACTAGGTACTATTTTTAAATTTAGAAGTGGCGATTAAACAATTTTCAACCAAATTAGCAAAGTAAAACGACAGTCTATTATGTTAAGCCCAAGGTGACTTATCATTTATGAAATCTTTATACAGTATAGTAACCTTTCTTTCTTTGGAGCCTTGAACCATACACAATACGGATATACTGTACTTCCAGGGCCCAAAAGTAAAAACTTCAGTTTTGATGATTGCGACTTCGCAATTTTGTTGTTGAAAAGGCTTCTGTCAACCACATTATTAAACAAAATGTCACACTTATGCATTGGTAGTTTTTTTAGAAAAAAATATTGAAATTTTTTACTTTTCATAATAAATAGGTAACGCCGTTTTGAAAATTTACATTGATTTTTTTTAATAGTTTTTAAGTAATCTATGAGACGAAAGTTGAAATTATTATACAGCCATCGAAAATAAAAATGAAGTACAAAATTTTTTCAGAATACTTATTAAAAGCATTTAATTGTGTATGATAATAATTGTAAATACATAGTATTTTTCTCATCATGTACCTACTTTCTTTCTTATTATTAGGTTGTTTATGCAACTTGAATACAGAACCGACTTAGTCAACCCCGAAACGCCGTGGTCTTGGTCTGCCCTACCCCTAGAGTGTTTTGTTTGTTTTGTGAGAGGGCGCGGAGGGGGAGCAGCCCCCGTCCGCTGTAACAAAGCCACAGGCATTTGCGGAGGGGAGCATAAATGCCTATGAGCCTTTGTTACGCAAGGCCGGAGGGGCTGCTGATCCCGCAGCGCCGGAGATGATGCAGAAGTGCAGTGTATAACATGAAAAATTGATAGATAACTTTAAAGACGATACAATATATTCCTCCTTTCTCTCTTTACAATAACTGAAAATTGTTGGCTACCAAAAAAAAACTCTCGATGGTTGTATAATAATCTTGACATGAAAATCATAAAATAAAAAATAAGGCTATATGCACTTTGTTTATTTTGCCTTATCTAAAAAAAACAATGTGATTTGTCAAAATGGTGCTATTTATTTACTAGAAAAGTAATATTCAATATTTTATTTTTCTCAAAAACTATTAGTGCGCTGGTGTTGAGACTTTGCATAGAGACTTCATTGACAGAGACCTTTTCACCCAAAAATAGTGAAGTGTCAATTTTTGGGCCCTGGAAGTACAGTTTTATCCACAATACTATCAAAAGGTTCATTATGTAAATAGAATCTTTTATTATGGTTTTGCGACCAGGGCTTGAAACCGGTTTCAAAAATACCGGTAAATAAAGGTTCATACCGGTTTTTAGTAAAGGTTTCGTTCGGATCGTATCCGAAATGAAAGCGGTACCATAATAAACCGGTTTAATCCGTAAGTTGAAGTTTGTTTTGTTTGAACTAATCAAGTCACATCTTGTTAATGCTCAGAGATTAATGCATTTATAGACACGTTCTCTAGCGTCTAGTGAGTCTAATTATTCATTATGTAGTTGTGAATTTATTTCAACCGTCAGTAAGAGTGAAATGAAACCCTTTAAAAACCGCTAAATTGATTCAAAACCTATTTTATTTCGCTTTTTAGGAAAACCGGTTTTTTAAGGTTAAGGTACAGCCAAACCTAAATAGAACGCTCCTAATGTACTTGACACTGATTTAGGTTTGAAAATTAACCGGTAAACAAGCCCTGTTTGCGACTTCCTTTGCGTGTCATGAAAATTTATGTGGGAAACTCAATTAGAGTTTTCCACATAAATTTTCATACCCCATTTTACCCCTCCAAGTTTTATTTTCACGACCAAATGGAGCCTATATCCAGCTTCAGAGTCCCATCTTTCGCTCTCCAAAATTTAGCACAATCGATTCTTGTGGTAACAAACAATCTCGCTGTCACATTTGTACTGACTTTTTTTTTAACGCTTAATAGGCAAGGCGTTTGACCACAATCTCGCTGTGTTGTTCATCATCATCATCATCATCATCATCATCATCAGCCTATTAATGTCCCCACTGCTGGGGCACAGGCCTTCCCTATGGATGGAATAGGGAGATTGGGCCATGACCCACCGCGCGCCCAGTGCGGATTGGTGGGTGCTAACGACTGCAGATGCAGCCGGGACCAACGGCTTAACGTGCCTTCCGAAGCACGGAGTAGCTCGAGATAGTAATTTTTGGTCACCCATCCAATGACCGACCACTGCGAAAGTTGCTTAGCTTCAACGATCGCAGCCGAACGCGCTAACCACCTCGCGTTGTGTTGTTGTCTTGTTCTAATTAATAAATTTCTCCGTTCCAGAGGCGTGTAGTGTGCGTACTTCTCGACATGGTGCGTCAGTTATCCGACGAGCAGTATAGCATTGTAGTGAAGGCATTGGAAGCGGAAAATGCGGGGGGATCCCGGTCTCTTCTGTCTGACGCTTTACACTTGATGACGACTTTGCTTCAAAGACCCGTGTTCAAGCTGCATTGGGCCGATATATTGCACCTACAGCATTACGTCATGTTGCACGCGTTGAGGTGAGATATTTGATCCTTTAGTAGTAGTCTTTGTCCAATATTTTGTGATCAAACGATATCACTTCTTGCAATAGGGATGATGACTAATTTTTTTTCTTCGTCTATCAGGTAGATAATCAAAAAGTATTGGACATGTATTTTTTCTTTTTTCACATAATATAAACATTGCAGAGATATATTGATTTGAAAAGTCGCATGACGTCACGTTTGAGTACACTTGTAAGGGAAAATTTACTCAAAAGTGACGTCCGAGCCCCTACTTCTAAACTTTGACGCGCTATATAACTTTGTCATTTTTTGGTTGATTGCCCAAAGAAAAAATACGTGTCCATTATTTTTTGATCATCTAACTGACGGACTAAATAGAATTTCGTTTACTGTACCCCGTCATCACCCCTATTGCAGCAGTTGGGTCTATAATGTTACAGACTTTTCCCGTTGTGTCATATATAGTTTTGGAGTATCTCATCTCAATAGATGATCCCAAAAAATATTCACTTGCAACTGTGTAATCAATATGAAAAAAAATGTATTATTATTAAAAAATGTATAAATTTTTTGGTCTTACTCAGTTTTTGATTTCACTAAACTGTGAGTTCGGTCCACTTGGAATAATAAAGTCAGCACATATTTTTGAAGTGCAAACTTCTTTAGCGGCGTTGTACACAAAAACTGTTAAACTCGCGTCAGGACACATGGTCTAATCGCGTCATGACACGTAGCCTGATCGCGTCCGGACACGTGACCTAATCGACAATTCGTAAGACGAAAACAATAAAATTGGAAAGGTTTTTGACTTTCAATATATTGGACGAAACATAGTAATATTTTATTTTATCGTAATATAATAATAAGTATCTAATTAGGACGTCCAGGTGGCAGCTTTTTTGCGAAGAAAATGCATTTTTTTACAATAGATGTCGCTAGGTGCGCTTAAACGTGATTTTTTTGCTGAAAACGTTGATTTTTTTGAGAGATAAACTTTGTAATGTAATATAAATTGTCATGTTTGTGTACGATAGCGCAATAAATAAATATTGTATTCTACCACATAAATGATAGTACTTTTATATTGATAATTAAAGCAATTCGTGCAAAATTATTCCCTAACCATTCCAAAATATCAAAAATGCACAACGTTAATATTCAAGTTTTCACTTCTGCCGGCACTCCCGGAGTGCAACCCATCGTTTTTTTTTAATACTGTTGTTTATTTGTCTCTGACAACTATATTAAATACCATAGATACATCAACACGAACAAAATCGTGTCTAAAACCTGTCCAAAACGTACATTGGCCGATCCACGGGGCTGCGTAAGATTATCGGGTAGTCAAAAACAATATAAAGCATTATTTAAACGTTGAAAGTCGCCTTTAATGTATACTGCAAAAAGTTTTAATTAAAACGCCCGCGTCAACATGCGGATGTATATCTATATATATAAAACTCAAAGGTGACTGACTGACATGATGATTTATCAACGCACAGCCCAAACCACTGGACGGATCGGGCTGAAATTTGGCATGCTGGTAGATGTTATGAGGATTTTGATCAATTCTACCCCCAAGGGGATAAAATAGGGAATGAAAGTTTGTATAAAACTTTGTCAATTTTAAACCGATCCGGCTGAGACTTTGCATGCAGGTATAAGAAGAATCATAAATGAATGTCATTGTGTATAATACAAGCCTGAGAACAAAATAGTAGTCTACACTTCAGCTCTACACCGAAGCGAAGCGAGGGCGGGACGCTGGTAGACCATATTTCTTTGACTCTACGCGCAATTTGACTTCTGTATGCGCTGTTAGCAATATAACAGGTACGGATCGCGAGGAAAAGAGACGACTATACTACTGACCATGCATTTGAATATTACAAATGTTTTCTATTAAATCAGTTTATAGTAAGTACTAGCTGTTACCTGCGACTTCGTCCGCGTGGAATAGTATCTTTGGGTAGCATTTTTAATTATTTAATAAGAATCATTAGTAGGTATAGTAGGTATATTTAAAAAAAAATAAAAATATTTGTTTACAGTAGGTATAAGCTACCTATGTATTCCATTGAGTGGCAGAAAGTACCTAGGAAAATTTATTGGTCCCTTATGTCCAAGAGAAACTTACAGGGGCCAGCGTCACGTTGTGTACAAAAATATCTTGGAGATGAATATAATATATTTTTTTAACTTGACACACCCAGAACTTCTAAATATCATGTTCCTAGGTTCATTGGTTAAGATTTTGTATACAAAAAGTTTGGCTTCGTAGTTCCCAATCCCATACAACTTTTCACCCCCCCCCCCCCCCTTTTAACCCCTTATAACCCTCTTTTCGCAATAAAAAGTAGCCTATGTTCTTTCTCAGGGTCTAGACCATCTGTATACCAAATTTCATTCAAATCCCTTCAGTAGTGTTGGCGTGAAAGAGTAACAGACAGACAGACAGATAGAGTTACTTTCGCATTTATTATATTAGTCCGGATTAGAACAAAATTTGCTTCAAACGCGTTAAATTAACAAACATAGATAAGATACTTGTCGAAAAAACGACACTTTACGTAACATAAGTGTTCTATTCGCATTTTTTCACGGAGCTCTGCGGCATCTTGACTTTTCAACGGTCCGCGCGTGACTGTGAACCGAGAAGTGCTTGAGTGGTGTTAAAGCACTTCTTGATTGGGACACATTTTGAGGACACGCGGTGTATCTAGGGTATTTAATATCGCTGTTTACAACACTTTGAGAAAATATCGAGCATTCACTTATTGACTTTTCGTTCTTCTAATATGCATAATTTACTTTTCTCGCAGGTTACTGTCGACAACGCTTCGCGATCGCCTATCGAACGTGGACGAATCGGACACAGAAACTATAACGGTCATACATTCCATGTGGAGGGATTGGTTCACAGCGGTGGCTTCACTGGCCACTTCCTCTGTCCTTCAGCTGGATACGTTACCTCCTGGGAGAAAACAGCGTGTACTGGCCTTGTACGGAGATCTGAGGAGATCTGCCGCCTCACTGTTGGGAGAAATGTGGTTTGGATTAGGTGAGCTTCATCAGCATCATCAGCCTATTAATGTCCCAGTGTTGGGGCACAGGCAGGGCCGGATTTAGGATTGTGGAGGCCCCGGGGCCACTTAGGATTTGTATGCTTATTGACCCATCGAAATGTTGTTATTTTTAAGCTGTTGTGAAGGCCCCTGGGCCACAGCCACACCTGCCCTGCCTTAAATTCGGCCCTGAGTAAAGGTAAAAAGAGCAAAAAATAGTACATTACGATACGCGTGACCTAAGTTGCCTCGCTCCGCTCGGGCGCTAACTTCACGCCGTGCAGTAATAGACAAGTTAGGCCACAAGTATCGTATACTATTTTATAGCAAGTGTGACATAAACCCGCCCCGGACGCGGGCAAGAGGGGGGGTTCGGGGTGGCCGGATTTTTTTCGATTTTTGGGGCAACAAATTCAATGTCACCGACTTCGTCACTTCTTTAATTGCGTTCGGAACAATTTCACCGTTCTCGTATTCGCTTAGGTCACTATCCGAACTGGCCATTTTCGACCAAAAGATACAATTCTCGCGGAATGAATTATAGCTAACCGTTTCTCCTTGTTTTGGCTGTCACTGAAAATTCCTAACCTATCGCTAATTTGTCATTTGTTTGCTGTGAGTTTTTAAGCTCCAAATGACATTTAAATGTGTTTTCTTTTATTTTTTCTACATGAGTGAAGTTGGTCAATTCATTTACACACCGTGCAGAAATAGGCAACTTAGGTCACGGAAGTGCGGGTTTAGGTCACACTGTGCTATAAAATATATCAAAGGAAAAGATGTTTACTAGTTGGAATTTGAAAGATTTTTTTTCCGTAGTCTATTGTGGGGGCCCCCCGTTTGTGGAGGCCCCGGGGCTTTCGCCCCGGTTGCCCTCCCCTAAATCCGGCAGTGGGCACAGGCATACCTTTTGTACGGAACAGGAAGATTGGCCCACGGTGCTAACGACTGCTCGAGATAAGCTTTCGGCTTGGGTAACACTTGGGTGTATGTGTTTACGTATCAGTTGTATTACAAGTTAACTATTCAACTATCTACTTGTAGAGATGTTAGCGTGGAAGCAATAGGGTATTTGGCAAGGTTTAGAAAACGATCGCACATCTCTTATCTATTAGACAAGTCCGTCCGTCCGTCCGTGGTGCTGTTTCAGCGGCCAAACCGTAAGAAATAGATATAGAGAATGTTTAAGTTATAAGTTAAGAATAGTCTGATAAGACTACAAACCGGATGTGAGTAACGTAGCACTTCCGGTTTTCTAGAAATCACGTGATTTCTATTTCAAACGAAACCACACGAAATCTCCGAAGTTCTCAATTACATTCATTTTTTTGTTTTTTTTTTTTGGTGAACATTTGGTTCACTGGTTTGCTAGTTATTTACTAAATATCAAACCAGTGAACCAAATGTTCACCAAAACCTGATTTAAAAAAAAATGTATTTAATTAATTGAGAACTTCGGAGATTTTGTGTGGTTTCGTTTGAAATTCGTGATTTCTCGAAAACCGGAAGTGCTACGTTACTCAAATCCGGTTTGTAGTCTTATCAGACTATTCTTAACTTATAACTTAAATATTCTCTTTATCTATCTCTTACGGTTTGGCCGCTGAAACAGCACCACAGACGGACGGACGGACTAGTCTAATAGATAAGAGATGTTTACGGAGTCTGTAGAAAAAGTGGGTATTTTTAATTCAGTTGTGCCATTAAGTGAAAAACTAAATTCAATGGTCAAATTGCCGCAACAACGTTTTTCCGAACATTATGGCGTCTCACTAGTGTGCGACGTCACAAGACTGTTATTAAAACGTCAAATGATACAATGTAATAAATGTCACTTTGGCTGGAAGTTTGACTAGCGTGTGACGCCTTTGCCAATCTAAAGCGTTTTCGGTCACGTGGCCCTATGGGCAATAAATTAATTTATATTTAATGATTTTATAGAAAAAAATACTTATTATTTGTTCTTTCAGAATAGTAGAATCGCTGCTAATATTCATATTAAACACAGATGCCAACAATTGGTACATTATTTTTGATACTGTCAAATAGCATTTTGTGCGTTTTGCATATATTGTAAAAAAAATATAAATTTCAAAGCATTTACTTTTACTGATCATAAAATATAATTGAACAGTAATTTTTGTCAAAAAAGTTTCTCCCCTTCTAATAATAGACTTGTCCACAGTGTTGGGCAAAATGTAACTAACTTCAAATTAACAATTTCAATTACAAATTGTAATTGGTGACTTTAATCACAAATTACTTGAAATTATTAAAATATAATTCAATTAACAATTTAAATTAGCAATTGTAATTGTTAATTGCAATTACTCAATTACTTATAGATAATCTCTTTTAAAGATGAGGTAGGCTTTAAATGAAACTGTTATATTATTATTTATTAAATGATTATTTACGAAATAGATCAGATAAATTGTGTTATTTACAACCACCTTTTTAAGATTTAATACTACTCTTTGATCAAACATTTGATCAGAAAGTTTGTAAGATTTTGGTAAGGTAATCATTGTAGCATATGAGAACAATCAATCGAAATAAAGGTGCACGCCGCCGGGAGACTAGAAAAGGGATAGGTAGCTGTGTAGGTACAGGTAACGAGGCACACACTTACACACTCATAAATTCATGGCAAAGTATACTCTAAAACTTTGTTTGTGTTGTGCTTGTTGTACTGCATACGGGCATCAAGCTAATAAACGCTCAGTTTTAGTAGTTTATTATGTTAGCCTTAAAAAGTAATTGAGTAATTTGAATTACTAACTAATGTAATTTAAATTACTTCGGACGTAAGTAATTGAATTACAGTAATTTCAAAAACATGTAATTTCTATTAAAGTAATTCAATTACTATTTATTGAATTAGTAATTAAATTACAAAAGTAATTAATTACGCCCAACACTGCTTGTCTATAATCCTAGCACTATAGTAAATTACCGCCGATACCGTCCGCCCGAGCGGAGCGAGGGTGCTAAACGCCGTGCAGTAATAGACAACTTAGGCCACAAGTATCGTTTACTATTTTATAGCAAGTGTGACATAAACCCGCCCCGGACGCGGGCAAGAGGGGGGGGGGGTCCCCCCGAGGGATGCGATTAGTGTTTTGAAAGTAAAATTCATGTATTGCAATCACAAAGAATTGCAATACAGACTGCAAGTCAAGCTCTGAAAAGAAAGAATTCCGGTTCAGATTACCATTTTGAAAGTATATTTCAAAAGGAAAAAAATCAAATATCATTACAACAAAATAGAATTTCAATGTATCCATGAACGTTTATTCCTTGATTGGCATAGTAAAGTTAAGTTACGCGTATCGTAATGTACTAATTCTACATGAGTGAAGTTGGTCAATTCATTTACACACCGTGCAGAAATAGGCAACTTAGGTCACGGAAAAGCGTGCGTAAAGTGCGGGTTTAGGTCACACTGTGCTATAAAATATTTTTCTGCATCAGATCGTTGTTTATTTGTAAACTTCTTTTACCAGTCAAGTAAAAAAAGAAAAATAAGATACTTATCTCCATTTTGAATGACGCATGTAATTTGCTACGTTTTAATATATTATTAAAGTAAACTTTACTTTCAGGCGAACACAAGCGATCCTTCATTCCATGCCTGGTCGGCCCTATATTAGAAGTGAGCTTCCTAAGAGACGAGGAAGTGAGAAACACTACCATACCTCTATTTTTCGACATGATGCAGACAGAGTATTCACACAGCGTAGCGAGCGGCGAAAGCGGTAAGTCTTTAGTATATTTGATACTTGTAATGGCGCATGCGCGGACGACGGACTTTTGTCTGCGGACTTTTATGACCGACAAGATAGATCGCTTAAAACTGCATCGAGTAACGTACACGAGGAATTGAAAGTCCTACTAAAAACCCCCCGAACAACAGAGGGACCGGACTGTAAAAAAGTAAACGACAGTCCCCGAAAAAAGTACACGACAGTCCCCGAAAAAAGTACACGAGAGTCCCCGAAAAAATTACACGACAGTCCCCGAAAAAAGTAACTCATGTGACTGGGCGCTGCAACACACAGCAAACTTTAGTAAGAGATGAAAGCAGTATTCTGCTTTAAAACGTCTTCACTTCTCCTTAAACTTCATGTTCATGACAACACAAAGTAATCTGAGAATATTTGCTTCCGAAGCGGGCGCGTCAATAAATTTTTCGCCAATAAATGCTCGCAATCTGTGTGCGTTGAGTCCGTGACAAATCCTCAATGGTCATTTTTCTTTCACGATTAAGTTCTTGTCCTGCGTAGACGAATCTTTTGGCCATAATAGTATCTGATTTAAGGTTTTAGTTACTTAAAAATGTGAAAAGATGGCGCTGTCTCTCGCACACAAGAAATATTACAAAATATTTTTTGCGTCCGTAAGATTACAGTAGAAAATGGACAGAACATTCGCCCGAATAGCGGAGGATGCCAGTTCGACTCCAGTCTGGTATTAAGGACGAGTTGACATTTTTTTAGCAAACACTTTATACTAAAACTCTGTTGTTCAATGCGTTAATGAAATATATGAGTCTAGTTAATGTATGGCTAGTCGCTAAATGCATTCATTGCAATCATGGCATTTTGTTTTTCCCATTGTTTGATGTTTACTCTTTTCTATGATTGTCTGCCGTTTTTATCGACTCTGCACGTTCTTTCCGGTTGTAGAGAATGCCATGCTGGCATTATGCCCGCCATATGCAATATAAAGGCATTAAAGTTGAAATAAAAAAATGGATGCGTGTAACTTATGTACGCGCGTGAGAAGTTATACTTCTTTAGCATCATTAAAAATATTTTTTAATTGCATGCAAATAATTAATAATTACAATAAAATAATAAAAGGACTGGAAAAGGATAGTTAACACAGTCAATTAAGTTCAGTTTTCATTTGAAAAATTAAATAAATATTCAAAATATTCAATTAAAATCACTACTGAATTTAAGTTATTAGTCCATATGTAATTAGCACTTGTAAGTAACTAAAACACGTTGTGTCTATATAGAAACTAGAAACATGTGGATAAATATTATAAATATGAAAACAGTGATCAGAGGCGACGAGCGTGCCAACATTGTTTTTGACAACGCGATCATCTTATGGAGCTCCGTGGATCGTTCAAAGTACCTTTCGAACAGATGTCTAATAATGGTGGATTATTAACCACTTAGTGATTCATAACGCGCCCGCGGCCAACTTCATGGTGTTACTATTGTGTTACAGTGATGCGCGCGCATCTCGAAATTTCACTCATATGGTTTTTTCATAACGCGCCCGCGGCCAACTTCATGCTGTTACTTTTGGGTTACAGTGATGCGCGCGCATCTAAAAATTTCACTCTCATAATTTTTTTCATAACGCGCCTAAAGAAGTATAACTTCAAAAATAAATAAATAAAAAGACATCTCCCATCGCAAAAAAAAGTTCGTTTTTAGCCCTTTACTTTAACTGTCTGTATTTGTTTTTCAAGGCCGGAAAATAAAAAAAAAACGGCCGTTTTTCCTCTTATTATTCGAGTTCTACGTACATCCAGGTTTCATTTTTATCTTAAATCAACCCTGAATAGTTTCTCTATAAACTTATCTATATATAAGATATGTTAATTAAAAACCATTACTAAATATGATAAAACGCAAAATATGAAAATGAAAATAATTTTCTCAACTTGTGGCAGAAATCATCCACTTACACAGGCGAGGGGCTAATAGCCCTTTCACATTTTTGCAAAAAAAACGTCATTTTTGAGCGCCTCGTTTATTCCCTTAGAAAAGATTTTGAGTATTTCCAATAGAAGTAAACAGTAGATTTATTCTTCCTATTGAAAGTTAATGCAGAATATTTGCAAATACATTTTCCTTTTTTTGCACAGCCAGTTTACGGAAAAAACGATAATATGCACAACTTCAAACGACTCAATCTCTCAATAATGTTCAATAAATTAGATCAAATTAATTACTACGTCATCAGAAATATGTTTTTGTTGTAACATAATTTATTAGAATTTTGATTTTCCATCTCATTAATTATCAAAAAAAACATCTAACCTCCGTGAGTTTTCCCAAAAAATAATGCAGGTTTACCTCCTATTTTGATATTGAATTAAATAGAATTACTAGCAAAAACTTTCATAAAACTAATCTACCATCATTGAACTACTGAAATATGTATATATTTTAATAATTATTTCAATAATAACTATTTTATAAGACTCGAAACATCACCCGTAAAATGCAATATATGCTAGTGCAAATCTACCTACGCGCCGATCAGTATGGCAGCGGCGCAATTTTGTAAAAGGGCTCTTAAGCAAGTCGCAATTATTTTTTGTAGCATAAATTTTACTTTTTGACGTGACAACGTCTTAAATTAGGTTGCGGCTGGGAGTCACTTATGAAAAAGTGTAACGCTCGGTAACGTTACGATGAGTCTCTCGTGTTAAGTTTAAGTTTACATGTACAATGTTTTAGTAAACAAAATATATTTCTATAGTTAAAATTTGTGCAATTCTTATTTTCATTCAATTCCTTGTTCCTATTGTGCAATTTAATTATATTCATATCAATAAATATTCTACCGAGAAAAAGACGTTGTCACGTAAAATCTTCGCCCGTAAAACCGACTTTACAGGCAACCATTTTTTTTTCTCACAGAAGGCCATCTGAAAGACGTGGAAAGCGAGCTCATAGATAAGCTAGACGTGCTAGTAGAGAGTGGGTTGGGGGATTCCTGGTGGCGGGCCAAATTCGTGTCCCTATGCGGGGCTTTATGTGGGGCCGCGGCTGGCGGGCTGAGGGTGTCGGCCGCGGCCCTAGTGGCGGCGGCAGCGAGGCAGCTGGATACCTTGCTGCAGTATAGGTACGTTTCATCATCATCATCATCAGTACTATGGAGTTCTAACCAGAATGGATACCGCAATAGACTTAAGTGGCTACCTATTCGGGAGCGTAGGTGCTTAAGGACAGTTCTTACCCTTTTCAATTTACTATACGATCCACGCACCCCTGGATATCTGAAATCTCGGTTTCAGTTCCTTGGGTCTTCCCATGAATTAAATCTCCGTTCCAATGATAATTTAATACTTGAAGTACCCATTCACCATACTGGCTTTGTCTCCAGTTCGTTCACCTTTTCTGCCATTCGGCTCTGGAATGCACTTCCTTTACACGTGCGTAACGCCCCAAACAGGAATGCGTTTAGGTCTTTTATGTATGTAGATGTAGTTAGATATGTATTTATGTATGTATATATTTGTGTGTACCTATTATATATGTTGCTATAATGTATATTTATATATGTATGTATAAGTAATTAATGCTTTTTAATGTTTTCTCTGTTCGTTGTCTGCCGTTTCATTTTCTCTGCACCTTCTTTCCGGTTGACTGGTAGAGAATGCCATACTGGCATTAAGTCCGCCATTTGCATTGTAAAGGCAATAAAGGTTAAATAAATAAATAAATAAATGGATAGAACCTGGGGACGTAATTACTAATTAAAAGATTCTGGTAGAGATAAGATATTTATTTCATTCATGCGAATATAATGATTTTTATCTAAATACGAGAGGTTTGCTTGGTGCCTGAAGATCTACTCTTGAATGGAACCTTCTATCAAAAGACAGACGATTCCTTATTTCATATCTTAAAATCATGACATTAACTTTTTAATATAACTGCCAACCGTAGGCATTGCAAAAGCAAAGAGTTTACCTAAACAAGGCGGTAGTAACGTACCGGACGTTACAGTACCCTACAAAGTACGGATTTTACAATTACGAAAACTATGATAGTTTTCGTGAGCTCGCAGTCTTATTAAGGGTACTGATTTTATTGTTTTCGATTCAATACAAATAAACAGTGTTTAAATACTATCATTGCTAGGAAAAGTTTCTTGTGCCTTTGTGTCGAGATTTATAATAAAATGCCAACCGACATGAAAATGCTAAATATGAACATGTTTAAAAATAAACTATATAAATGGCAATCTGACATTTTGAAATCTTGTAATATTAATATGTTGACATTGTATATTTTATTCACATTATATTATATAACTCTGACATTCATAACTCTTTTTTTTATTGGTTACATATTATATATTTGCATGCTATTTTTAAATTGGCAAAACATATATACTATATACCGTGTTTTTAGCAAATAAAGATTGATATAATAGGCTTCACAAAATTAATAATTCATCTAAAGGTCTTTGTGTTCGCTTATACAATAAAGTCTTATGTAATATCCAAGAGTTAACCATAAATAAATTTAAAGATTGTATAAAAAAAGGATTTATTAATAAAGCTTATTACAAAGTGTCTGAATTTATTACAGACAAAAATGCTTGGGTTTGAACTGTTCCAATCATTTTCCAATAGTTTTCTAAATAAAACAAATCATAATTGTATTGACGTTGTAACAACATAATGATTTGTAAATGTTGTTACATTAGACTTTTAACGTTGTGGAGTTTTTTTTCGCTCGCTTTTCTCCGCAGCTAAAAAAAATTTGTCCATAACGAGTGGTAGGGAAAAAAATGTTTTGGACGATTCTAAAGAGTTGTACTATACATCCAATTTGAATAAAGATATATTGATTTCTGAATTGGTGGGAGTGTTGGAAATATTTATTTATTTATTACTTTATTAATACATTAAAAAAAAATAGTAATGCATGTCCGGTCGCAGCTCCTAACATTATCTGGTCTAGCCCGGATATATCTGGTCCTATGTTAACCTTAATCACTCCTCCAGCCTCCAAATTTCAAACTAGTATTATTTTGAACATCACAAACGTCAATAAATAAATAAAGTTCGTGCATTAACCCGTAAAAACTAGTTTTATTTAATGAGTGATGTGCGTGAAAACCTAAGAAACAAATAGTATTATTTTGTTCTTGTATATTTATGAGGTAACAAAATTTTATAGGAAAGCCGCGTTACGGTCTGCCACCCCCCACAGGATGCATTTGACGACTAGAGTACTTCACTTCTATGAACAAGTGGAGAGGCCTCATATGTATATTAGGTGAGTAGATTTGTGATGTTCATTCATGGTATATTTTTTGATTATTTAATGCTATTAGGTGCTATTTTTATTAAACTTAAATTGGCTTCTTAAACGTAATTTTCCATTTAAAACGTCCAGATTAAAAAGAATGATCACATCTAAGATATCTTTCAATATTTAAAACTTTGAACATATTTTAGTAAAGGCTTACTTTTATCTGAATCGAAACGTAGTGTATAACCTATTTTAGTAATTTACCTATTCTATTACACTTGTTTTGGGTGGAATAAATATTTTTGAATTTAGTTATTCAATTAACTGACATTAATACCTTCAACTCATTGACGTTCCAAAACCAAGTAGACTCACAATTGCGCTCAAAAAGTATCGGAAGCAAAACTACGCACATACGTCTATTGTGCGTAATTTTCAAGCAGTCGTGTTGTAAACGCGCTTTTATTACAACGCCACGCAATGACAAAATGTTTGCTTGAATCTTAGAGGTATAAGAATAGAGTGGGGAAGGCAGCTTTAAGTGTCCGTCTAGTAGAAAGAGAAAGAAGATGAGAGACCGCTTGCTATCTCTCTCTCTCTCTTGTGACGCATGCCATCCAATGGCATCACATCGAAATAGATGCTTACGGTTGCCAATGCTCATGCGCGATTAGGGAGAGAAAGCTAGCGGTCTCTCATCTTCTTTCTCTTTCTATTCGAGGGACACTACCACTTGTAGTAGAGTCTGTATCTCCCCTACTCTTTTCTTATGCCTCTATGGCTGAATACTGTGCAAATGACATCTCTCGGGCGGTTTTTTGATGCACTTTTGGTAGGCGATTGGGAACTACTTGTTTTCATACGTCAATGGTTTAACCGCTTCTTTTTTACACTTCTTTGAGCATAAATCATCATCATCATTAGCCTATTAATGTCCCCACTGCTGGGGCACATGCCTTCTCTATGGATGGAATAGGGAGATTGGGCCGTGACCCACCACACGGGCCCAGTGCGGATTGGTGGGTGCTAACCACTGCAGATGCAGCCGGGACCAACGGCTTAACGTGCCTTCCAAAGCACGGAGGAACACGAGATAGTAAATTTTTGGTCACCCATCCAATGACCGACCACTGCGAAAGTTGCTTAACTTCAACGATCGCAGCCGAACGCGCTAACCACTTGCGCACCGAGCATAAACATTTCTGGATTATTCTTTATCTTAAACTAACGAGCGTTGAAAATTTAATCTCGAACCAGATACGTCCACAAGCTAGCCAACATGCACCTGTCTGCCCAGCAGTGGGCAGAGGCTGGGCTCTCTCTAAGACTGCACGCGAAACTTTTGAAATGGGCCGCGGTACCCTTACCGCCCAGACTCCGACATCCGGCTCCAGATGCTCAGGATCGACATTCAACACATCGCGAGTTGAAGGTCAGAACTGTTTCGATGTCCATAGACTAATGCTCGTATTACAGAATGACAAGTAAGTGTTGATCTTTACTTGAGTACAGTAAGAAAGGGATGTCGCTATGTGCTATACAGAGCGACATCCCTTTCTAACTGTGTTTGATTGGGTTGACAGTGTAGATTTGACTAGATAAATAAATAAAATAAAATAAATATTTTTTTCCAACACTCGCACCAATTAGCCTAGTCCCAAAGTAAGCACTATATAAGGCTTGTGTTATGGGATACTAGGGTAACGGATAAAATACATATATAAGTACATTTTTATAGAAATACATATTAATCATCCATGACTGGAGTACAAATGCTCGCATTCATCACACAAACATCTGCCCCCACCGGTATTCGAACCCGGGACCTCTCGAGTCGGCGACACCATGAAACCCGGCGTACAAACCACCCGGTCACGGAGGTCGTCATGCCTTAAACACATGATGTTAGAAAGGTGTGTGCTATACATAGCGACATCCCTTTCACTCAACACTTCGTTGTCATTCTGTAATACGAGCGTCAGTATTGAAACATTGACAGAGTAAGTAAAAGAGTCATCATGCCCTAACAACAATCCTACAAGGTAGAAAGAGACGCAACATAATGTACATTAATGACAGCTATCGCGTATGAATCCGCCGCTAGAGGCGCTAGTGTAGCGTGAGGTCTCCGAAATGCCAAATGTTATTGCTTGTTGGTTGACTACGCGGGTTTATTTCTAATTAAAATAATGTTGTGAATAATTGGTAACAATTCGGCTTAATTATGGCAAATATGAGTTATGTGGCAATGAATGTCAGTTATTAAAAATTTGAGCTTAGAAAAATGATTATGTTCCCATTTTTTCCGAATAAAACGGAACTGCGCGTCACTGTGGCATGGCCTATTATGTTTAGGATATGGTTCTTTTGTGTTAAAATACGATCTAAATGTAACCTTTGATTTCATGTGCGTATTAATAAACTTTAAAAGTTACAATTTAGGCCTCACTCAACAGTGGCGCCATCTGGTGAGACAGAAAACGGTAGCCCTCATTGTCCCAATAAAGTAAGAGCCAACAGCGTCATGTCAAGCCTTTAGTCTTGAAATTTATTATTTTCATATCAATTTCTTCTACGAAACTAAAAGGACAATTGTGCTTAACAATTCGGTTTGTGTTATGGTATCCTGTGTTTAAAGCATATCTCGTCAAAACTACACTATCAACCCAATCAAACACCACATGGACAACTAAATTTTTGGGGAACACTTGCTATAGGCATACTCTATCTTTACATCCTATAACTATGGTTACATTCCAAACAAATACAGAAATTTAATAATTTACAAGCTTTGTGAAAACTATGTACCCGTCCTAGTTTTTCACGCGTAAAATTCATTTTAATCATTTTAAAACGATAAAATATAGCTTACATCACGCAATACACTTTGAAACTTTCGCGTTGCATTAAAAATATAACATTTCAGGAGTTAAAACGCGTGCTCCAGTAAAGATTTTCGTACTTACCTTCTTGTCCCGACATTTCGTTACATCGGTCGTGGATACGAGGCGAAAACCTTTGCCCTAGTACGCGTTTGAACCTGGGGGCCAATCGCCTAACGGAAATGCTTTGGGAAACGCTAACGCTTACGATTTTATATTTTTATTTCTAGCCGCCTGAGGTTTTCGAATACCTCACGCTCATTTTTTTTAATATTGTTATTACCAATGCAAAATAAAAAGAAAGAGCGCGAGGCATTTGAATACCTCAGGCGGCTAGAAATAACAAAATAAAATCGTAAGCGTTAGCGTTTTCCAAAGCATTTCCGTTAGGCGATTGGCCCCCTGAGAAGTGTTATACTTAAAGTTATAACTAGCAAACCAGTGAACCAAATGTTCACCAAAACCTGATTTAAAAAATGTATTTAATTAATTGAGAACTTTGGAGATTTTGTGTGGTATCGTTTGAAATTATTAAGTTAAAAAAAAATAAAAAAAAAATCTTTAAATAGTTAATTGTGATAATTACAAAATCACGTGATTTCTCGAAAACAGGAAGTGCTACTTTACTCAAATCCGGTTTGAAGTTTTATCAGACTATTCTTAACTTATAACTTAAATATTCTCTTTATCTATCTCTTACGGTTTGGCCGCTGAAACAGCACCACAGACAGACGGACGGACGGACTTATCTAATAGATAAGAGATTTTTATTTTTTAAGCATGTGACTGCACGATGTTTAAATTTTATAGAATAACTAGCTGTCCCAGCGAACTTCGTGCTGCCATAAAAAAATAGGGGTTGGTGGTAGAGGGGCGAAAATTTTGGGTTATAATTATTTTTGTATGATGTATCATAAAAAAATTAAAAAAAAAAGTGTTGGATTAACATTTAGGGGGATGAAAAATAGATGTTGTCCGATTCTTAGACCTACTGAATATGCATATAAAATTTCACGAAAATCGGTTGAGCCGTTTCGGAGGAGTTTAACCACAAACACCGCGACACGAGAATTTTATATAGTAGATAGAAATTATAACTATTATTGCTATTTATTCTTTCAAATTTAAGTTTAATATTTGCAAAGGTATTCATTTGACATTGTGGGTTATCTACAATGGGAACAGATGGCGCTGCCTTGCAGCTTAAGAAAGGCTAGAAAGAATTCGACACGGTCATCAGGGCCGCGGTAGTATTATAGTCAGTGCATTCGCCCGCATAACGAAGAGTGCTGGTTCGAGTCCCGTCTGCTGCATGGTCCGTTTGGAAATATTTCTTGTAATATTTTCTTAATGTTATATTTATTTCACTCAGCCCCGATATATACCTAAGTGAAAAATTCCAGGTTGCAGTTTGATACTGGCACTACACATGGCTGTCCGTGTTTGCTATTTGTAAACGTGACAAGTCTCCTTTTGATTCTCTATAGAGCCTGGGTTCCGAACCTGGGGGTAATTACCCCTCTGGGGGTAAATAAGCCATACTTCGGGGGTAACAAAGAACCGAATTATTTGGTCAAATCTAAATAATAAGAAAATACTATATAACTAGCAAACCAGTGAACCAAATGTTCACCAAAACCTGATTTTAAAAAAAAAATGTATTTAATTAATTGAGAACTTCGGAGATTTTGTGTGGTTTCGTTTAAAATTCGTGATTTCTCGAAAACCGGAAGTGCTACGTTACTCAAATCCGGTTTGTAGTCTTATCAGACTATTCTTAACTTATAACTTAAATATTCTCTTTATCTATCTCTTACGGTTTGGCCGCTGAAACAGCACCACAGACGGACGGACGGACGGACGGACGGACGGACTTGTCTAATAGATAAGAGATAATACTACTAAATAGAGCATGCGCTCCTTCTTGCTAGCGAGCCCGCGGGGCGCTGAGTGTGGGAAGCGGGGCGAGATTTACTCCTGATGATGACATTATTGGAGACGAAGATGTAGCGGCCAAATTGGAATTTCTTGGACTGATGATAAAATTTTAAAGTCGGGGTAAAATCTGTTTTCCTAATAGGTTACAGGGGTAGCAGTATTGGAAAGGTTATGAAACACTGCTATAGAGTATGATAACGACAACCTGCTGTAAAAATTACAAATATTAAACGCGAATGTGAAGTGCTAACATGACAGTCAATGTTGATAAATCGCTTTGTCATATTGATAAATTATATTATACATATATACATATCGATAAATTGTCAAATAGACTTAGTTCTGCAGCATATGCCGTAATGAAGATACGCCAGTTAACGGATGTAGATACGGCCAGATTAGTATACTTTAGTTATTTCCATAGTGTAATGTCGTACGGAATTTTATTGTGGGGAAACGCCGCCGACATTTAAACTATTTTTGTGCTGCAGAAGAGAGCTATTCGATCAATTTATAATCTTAAAGTTAAGGATTCCTTAAGAGATAGGTTTAAAGAATTTGGTATAATGACGGTCGCATCACAATACATTTACGAAAATTTATTACTTGTAAAAAAAAATATTAATTTGTTTCTTAAAAACAGTGATGTTCACACACTTAATACAAGAAACAAAAATAAACTAACTTTACCTGCTACTAGGCTTCACAAAATCAATAATTCATTTAAAGGTCTTTGTGTTCGCTTATACAATAAAGTCCCAAGCAATATCCAAGAGTTAAGCATAAATAAATTCAAAGATAGTATAAAAAAACACTTATTAAAAAAGCTTATTACAAAGTGTCTGATTATATTACAGACAAAAATGCTTGGGTTTGAACTGTTCCAATCATTCCAACAGGTGTTCTATATTAAATAAATCATGATTGTATTGACGTTGTAACAACATAATGATTTGTAAATGTTGTTACATTATTCTTTTAATGTGGTGGAGTTTTTTTCGCTCGTTTTTCTCCGCAGCTAAAAAATATGTCCAATAACGAGTGGTAGGGAAAAAAATGTTTGGTCGATTTAAAAGTGTTGTACTATACATCCAATTTGAATAAAGATATATTGATTTCTGATTTGATTTCATATTGCGATTTATTGGTCATGCTAGGGGACTGGATATTGTGCATGTTTTAACTGGTGAAATAATTTTAAAACCAATTGTTAAACCCATTCCGCCTTATTACAGAATGTGGACTGAAGTTTTAGTTGGTTTAAAACCTAATACTGTATCTGTTTTCATTTTTGCAAAAAACGGCGACGTTACCATATTAAGACCGGATTTTATTTTTAATCAAAATTTTGTTATTTATTTATTTATTTATACTTTATTGCACAAAAGTATGTACAAGTGGCGGACTTAATGCCATTAGACATTCTCTACCAGTCAACCGGAGAATTTTAGCAAAAATCTTAAGGTAGTGCAAAAAGAATTCATCAAATTACTTAATATATTTTTATATCTATGGAAACAAGAAATATATTACAGACTGGCCTATGAATTACAAAATTCTCTTACAGGAAAACCTTTACTTAGAAATAGCGGAGCTACTAAACAGGGGTCGTCAATGGGAGTTAGCCGTTGACATAGTCAAGGAATTAGTGTCCGTTTACGAAGAGGAAGCCTTAGGCTATGGCCCCCTAGCGGAGTTGCATGGACAATTGGCCAGTTTATACGGGTGTATGCTGAAAACGCCGAGATGTCATCCGGGATATTTCCGGGTCATGTATTATGGCGAAGGATTCCCGGAACACTTGAGAGTGCCGCATGTAAGTTTATTGAAAATAATAAGTAGATATTCGTATTACATTCCTACAGATTAACCTAGCCCCGAAATAGGCACTGCAAGCTTTACGTTATATATACATACTAGCGGCTTGCCCTCGCTTCGCTTCGGTGTAGAGCTGAAGTGTAGACTACAGTTTTTGTTGTCAGGCTTGTATTATTCACAATGACATTCATCTGTGATTCTTATTATACCTGCATGCAGAGTCTCAGCCCGATCGGTTTAAAATTGACAAAGTTTCATACTAACTTTCATTCCCTATTTTATCCCTTTGAGGGTAGAATTGATCAAAATCCTTTCTTAACGTATGCCTACGTGATAACATCTACCTGCATGCCAAATTTCAGCCCGATCCGTCCAGTGGTTTGGGCTGTGCGTTGATTGATCACTATGTCAGTCAGTCACCTTTGAGTTATATATGTATAGAAGTATATATCATTGAAAATTTCATACAATCACTCGTGTTTGTCTTTCAAAATTACAAACATTTGCCTCACCTGGATTCGAACCCAGGATCTCTGAGTACGCGAAACCACGGAGGTAGTCAAATTTATTAGTTGCTTATTGTCATCTAGATTTGTGATTTTCACGCGAGTGTCATTCAGTCCGTTTTCCATGTTTAAGATTGATTTTACGTCCCGGTGCAGAAATTTAACATCGTTGAGTTCTTTGAAAGAGTGAGCTCCTATTATCGCTGTGTGCATTTCTACGTTATAAAATATAGCCTTTGTTATTCAGACATAATGTAATATCCTAATAGTGAACGAATTTCTAAAATCGGTCTAAAAGTTATTGAGTAATTCGTTAGAAATAGTTACCAAATAAATACAAATCTTTCCTCTTTATAAAATTCAGCATAGTTTGAGTGTGTAAATTTCTATATTTTTTTTGTTTCACAGGGTTTCGTATACCGAGGCAACGAATACGAACAGTTGCAAGACTTCAAAGAACGCCTGTTAGACGAATGGCCCGATGCTGATGTTCTTCCCAAATTGGACCCGCCCGGGGAAGAGATCACGCAGTCTGATGGACAATGTATCCTTTAAATGTTTACAATCACTAAACCACTGTGTGTAAAATTTCATCAAGTCCGTTCATCCGTTTTTGAGTCACATATTTACAAACATTCATCATCATCAGCCTATTAATGTCCCCACTGCTGGGGCACAGGCCTTCCCTATGGATGAAATAGGGAGATTGGGCCATGACCCATCACGCGGGCCCAGTGCGGATTGGCGGGTGCTAACGACTGCAGATGCACAAACATTCACTTTTATAATATTAATAGAACATAAAAAGTTAATTTATTAAAGAACAATGCCCATGTGCCATACAACTTTTGGCCCAAAAATGGATAGTCAAATATCGCTCAGAAATATACTGTTTTAGTTAGTTAAATGTATATAGAAATGAGAATAAGTTACAGAAAGTCCGCCACGTTATTGGTTCCTGCTATATTTGCAATATAACTATTTGTTGAAAAAATAATAATTATCATTACTTTTCCTGGGGAAACAATTCATTATTGTTTGTATTTTGTTTATTATATTGCTATTTGTTTATAATGTACATGGATTGGTATTAATGAGGTATAAGTATAAAACACGTTTCAATTATTCATCTTGTATTTCATTATCATTATGAGATAATACATCATCTAGAAATGTTGCCGGAGCAGTAATGTTTGTTTCAAAGCACACCCGGCATTTTGTGCCAAAGTTGTATACTTTTTTTTTTTTATCTCTGTTTCATAATTGGGTAACGTAGTCTGGCAATATTTGTCATCAGCAGCTAGCTGTCAATGTCAAATACGTAGGTTTGTCATCAAAAGGGTTTCTATATCAAGAAATATTAATCATTAAATAACTTCTTTCCACGATTCACTATAAATAAGGCAAAAGTAGTTTTATGTAGCAAATAATTTTGGCTTTATTTTGAAGCCAAATTCAACCGTATACAAGTTTAGCATTTTTTCTATGAAAAGTGACGGGTCTCCTCTAGCCCAATTAATGTACCAAATGATGGTCATTATATGGGCACAACAACCTACTGTACGTTTCCCCACAATACAGTTGCAATAATACTGTTGGATGGATTCTCTTCCAGTATTATTATTATTTATTAAAATGTATACATAATATGTTTTCGCCCAATATGTCTGCTTTGAATTGTCCCCCTCAAAATCCAACAATTATTTTCTAGGAAACCGCAAGGTAGGTTGCTGTTGCCCTCTCTGTATATTTCAACACTGTATGTACCGCATTAAAATCATTAATTCGTTTTTAGCATTGAGGATCATCATCATCATCATCAGCCTATTAATGTCCCCACTGCTGGGGCACAGGCCTTTCCTATGGATGGAATAGGGAGATTGGGCCATGACCCACCACGCGGGTTCAGTGCGGATTGGTGGGTGCTAACGACTGCAAAATGCAGCCGGGACCAACGGCTTAACGTGCCTTCCGAAGCACGGAGGGGCTCGAGATAGTAATTTTTGGTCACCCATCCAACGACCGACCACTGCGAAAGTTTCTTAAGTTCAACGATCGTAGCCGAACGCGCTAACCACTTGCGCCATCGAGCTCCTCTGCATTGAGGATAGGCATGGTTATTTTTGTAGTGAATAATTAATTATTTTACCGCAAATAACTATAATAAGAACAGTGATAAAATAATTATAAAAAGGTATAAATCGAATTCTAATCGAATATCGATATATTGTATCTGTCATGAAGCGATAGTAATGTTGCTACTAGAAACATTTCATAAATGGATAATCATCTAATTAGAATTATAAAACTACTAAGACAGCTGGCGGACTTTTAATAACTATTAAAAATGATATTAATTGAAATGTAATTTTGTGCAAAATTCATTTATTTTTTATAGTACTGTCCGCGGGTGAGCCAAAAATGGGCATTGCTCTTTCAAATATTGAGTGTCGATTACGTGACTTATGATTCTATTTAAAACACAAATTTGAATTTGAACCTTAACACAAAGACAATAGATCTGCAAATAAACGCCGTAGAGCCAGTCATAAGCGACAAACTGAAGCGTCTATCCGGAAAACCTGTAGCCGACCAGATTCTAATGTATTACAAGCACAATAACGTCGACAAATTCGTGTTTTCTAGACCCTTCCATAGACCAGGTGAGTGCATTCAAATATGAGCCTTATAACTGTAACAATAGAATGCAGTACAGCCCGTTATAAACGTCAAGCAAGGCGATTCTTCAGCGGTCTAGATTCTAATGTACTACAAGCGCAACAATGTCGAGAAATTCGTATTTTCTAGACCCTTCCATTGAACCGGTGAGTGCATTCAAATATGAGCCTTATAATTGTGTCAATAGAACGCAGTACAGCTCGTTATAAACGACAAGCAAGGCGATTCTTCAGCGGTCCAGATTCTAACCTACTACAACCACGACAAACTCGTGTTTTCCAGAGCCTTCCATAGACCCGGTGAGTGCATTCAAATGTGAAACTTATAAATGTGACATTAGAACGCAGTACAGCTCGTTATGCGAAGCGATTCTTCAGCGGTCCAGATTCTTATCTACTACAAGCACAATAATGTCGAGAAATTCGTATTTTCTAGACCCTTTCATAGACTTGGTGAGTGCATTAAAATACGAACCTTATAACAGAGACAATAGAACGCAGGACGCAGTACAGCCCGTTATAAACGTCAAGCAAGGCTATTCTTCAGCGGTCCAGGTTCTAATCTACTACAAGCGCAACAATGTCGAGAAATTCGTATATTCTAGACCCTTCCATAGAACCAGTGAGTGCATTCAAATATGAACCTTATAACTGTGACATTAGAACGCAGTACAGCTCGTTATAAACGACAAGCAAGGCTATTCTTCAGCGGTCCAGATTCTAATCTACTACAAGCACAATAATGTCGAGAAATTCGTATTTTCTAGACCCTTCAATAGAACCGGTGAGTGCATTCAAATATGAATCTTATAACTGTGACAATAGAACACAGTACAGCCCGTTATAAACGACAAGCAAGGCGATTTTTCAGCGGTCCAGATTCTTATCTACTACAAGCACAATAATGTCGAGAAATTCGTATTTTCTAGACCCTTTAAGAACCAGTGAGTGCATTCAAATATGAATCTTATAACAGTGACAATAGGACGCAGTACAGCCCGTTATAAACGACAAGCAAGGCGATTCTACAGCTGTCCAGATTCTAATGTACTACAAGCATAACATTGTAGACATTAAACTTTTAGGAGGGAGAACACCATTACAACTTCTACTAAGCCTAGACAATATTGTAAACTCACCCCAGCGGGAATTCTTCACACTAACAACTATATTAGTACATTACGATACGCGTGACAGCGTGCAGTAATAGACAACTTAGGCCACAAGTATCGTATACTATTTTATAGCAAGTGTGACATAAACCCGCCCCGGACGCGGGCAAGAGGGGGGGAAGCGATTAGTATTTTGAAAGTATATTTCAAAAGGAAAAAATCAAATATCATTACAACATAATAGAATTTCAATGTATCCATGAACGTTTACAAGAAAAGTGAAAATACATAAATACATTTTCGACCAAAAGATACAATTCTCGCGGAATGAATTATAGCTAACCGTTTCTCCTTGTTTTGGCTGTCACTGAAAATTCCTAACCTATCGCTAATTTGTCATTTGTTTGCTGTGAGTTTTTAAGCTCAAAATGACATTTAAATGTGTTTCCTTTTATTTTTTCTACATGAGTGAAGTTGGTCAATTCATTTACACACCGTGCAGAAATAGGCAACTTAGGTCACGGAAAAGCGTGCGTAAAGTGCGGGTTTAGGTCACACTGTGCTATAAAATATTTTACGACGTATTTTAAATAAAGAAATAATAAATTGAAGAATATTTAGGTTATGACTTCAAATACTTCATACTTATTGTTTATTATGGACTATATCAACGCACAACTTTACTATATACAAAATGTTTTTCTCCAAATAAATGTTAAGCATGTTTTCGCAGACAAAAAAAACCATAAAGTTTATCAAAAGATCCCAAATCTGTTGTACGAGAGCCCACGACCAAAACCATGTCTCATAGCAATACGCCAAAAACCCTATAAAATCGTTAGATTGTATGATTCTGAACCCGACTAGGTGTGTAGTAACGGTCGAAAGTGTAGCAACTGCGTGGGAGGCCATTTCTGCTGTGTCAAAAAAAAAAGACAGTCGGTATTATAGCAATACGTCTGATAGTGAAAATGTACATAGATTTTATAATTGTATTACGAAAAAGTTTGTTTTCAGACATTTTGCGCGTAGCATATAGCCTGAGCGCATTTTTGAAAATGTCAACAAATTTAGCCGACCTGTATCATAGCAATACGGATCATATTTTTTTTCAACTTTTCGTATTGCTGCCATGATTACCAAAAACCTGTTTTCAGACACTTTAAGTGTAGCATATACTCCCAAAAACGAAAATAACGTTTCGGAGTCGCCTGGCCGACGCCTCTGTTAAATGTTTTTTTAAATTTACAGCCTCCATAGATATTCAAGAATCTCCCTTGTCTATTATATGTACTTTGACAGATGACAGATGTCATTCAGGTTTCGGGTAAATAATTTGTTAATTATCATCTAATAAATTCAGGGTCGCAACGTATTCATTGGTTTGTAACAGAAAATTCAAGATGCCTCAATACGATTTTTAAATGATATCCGAGTATCGAAAAGTTGTCTGATAGAGAAGGTGCTACACTTAATTTGTCTGATATAATTTTTTATCATGTCCAACAATTTTCAGACATATTGCTATGATACCGATCGGTAAAATTTGTTAACATTTTCAAAACGGTCTCAAAACGTTCACATTTCCGTCTGAAAATTGTTTTGTTCGCATCAAATAACCAAAATTTACTAATAAAAAAGATTTTCAGACGTATTGCTATGAGGCATATTTTTTGTCTCATTTTTAATTTTTTTAAGTGATTTTACGGGTTTGCGCTACACCACTAACGTCTGAAAAATATGTTTCCGGTATCTCAGAACTATCATTCAACTACAGTCTGCAAATCAGACATATTGCTATGATGCAGTTCGGTAAAATTCTTTGACAATTTTGAAAATTCGGTCAGATCAAACGCTACGCGGAAAATGTCTGATATTGGTATTTTCGAGTTCAAGATAATCGTATCTATCGATTTGATGCGGTTTTGGCCGTATTGCTATGAGACAAAAATTTTGGTCGCGGGCTCTCGTACTATGTCTATAGTAAAATGAAACAGTTACCGAACCTGCAACTTAGAACTTTGTAAAATAAAAACAATTAATTCACTTTTGAGGTGTTCTAATAATGAATTTGAGTGACTGTCTCCTAACTGGATAAATCATTATTTTTGCAGAAGAATCTCTAAACGGATCAACGGATGACCTGTCGAGTCAGAACGAATTCGCGACGCGGTGGCTCGAAAGAACTGAACTCGAGATCAGTGATAAATTGCCAGGTAACTCATCATTCTATTGTGTACTAGCGGCACGCCCTCGCTTCGCTTCGGTGTAGAGCTGAAGTGTAGACTACAGTTTTTGTTCTCAGGCTTGTATTATACACAATGACATTCATCTATGATTCTTCTTATACCTGCATGCAAAGTCTCAGCCCGATCGATTTAAAATTGACAAAGTTTCATACAAACTTTCGTTTCCTATTTATCCCCTTGGGGGTAGAATTGATCAAAATCCTTTCTTAGCGGATGCCTACTTCATAACATCTATCTGCATGCCAAATTTCAGCCCGATCCGCCCAGTGGTTTGGGCTGTGCGTTGATAGATCACTATGTCAGTCAGTCAATCACCTTTGAGTTTTATATATATAGATTTCAGTAAAAAAAGCAACACTACGTTGTAACAAATTTATTTCATTTTTGTTAATGTAATTAATAAATATTTCTAACACAAACACCAATTAGCCTAGCCTCAAAGTAAGCACCGAAAGGCTTGTATTATGGTATACTAGGGGAATGGATAGAATTCATATAATGATACATAATAATGTAAGTATATACCTTAGTGTAAACGAGAGGTTACAGATCGCGCCAAATTCCTAGTCCGCTCTGAAGTTGCTTCGCGCTGGTAAACAGTCGGATAAATAATCCGCTCTGAACACTGAACAATTCGCGTCGCAGTAATAAAATACACATATAATGCGACAATTATGAGTGTGGCTAAAACTAGAGTCTGTGCGGTAAGAGAATGGGCGTTTCGAAAACCGGAACTAACATTAAGATATTTATTTGGCAATCAAACCCAGCAATCTGTAAAACGTCAAAGTTTTGTATTGATACGGATTTATTTGTTGTTGTGGTTGATTTCTTGCGGTTTTTTTGTATTTAATCATCTCTCAAAGGGGTAAAACCTTACAATTACGGTAGAAAAGCACTACAGCGCCCTCCAATCTAAAGACCATTCTCTTTCCGCATAGACTCTTACATGGGTAGACCCATGTTTTAGTCATTTCACTGGGTCTTATTTAAATAATAAATAATAATAAATTCTTTATTTATTTCTTCACATAAGTAGAAAAATTTACGATAAAGTGCTTAATTACAACACCTCACCACTTAATGTGAAGACTGGTGCTTGCAATAGGATAAACCTGTTCTACAAGACACCAAGCCTCCACTCCCAAAACTACATGAACAGAGCAAGCCACCCCTGTACCATTTATGTGATTAATGTGTTAATTAATATGAGAAGTGCTAAAGAAACAACTTAAACACAATAATAAAAAATAAAATAAAAATAAAAATGTAATTGTATGTGTGTGTGTGTGCGTGCGTGTGTGTGTGTGTGTGTGTGTGTGTGTGTGTGTGTGTGTGTGTGTGAGTGTGTGTGAGCGTATGCGCGCGTGTGTGTTTTTGTGTGTGTATGTATTTATATATAACGGTTCCCATAAATGCTTTATTTAATGCCATTGGTGCCAATTCTGGCGTGATTCTCTAAACTTAAAACTAAATTGAACATCAGTCTCTCCTTTTCATTCTGTATAGAGAACGACAAGGATATACTGCTGTCAAATTTAAATTTAGATTTAGAGAATTATGCTAGAATCGACACCATTGTATTACTAATTTGCACCTTACCTGATCTATTCCAATCTCCTGAACTAGAATTAATTTCATCATCGTCATTGACTTAGAGGCATCATAAGGATATTTTAACCTATTTCATTTAACTCCAATAAATAATTACAGATCTGTTGCTTTATCTGTCTGCTTGTATACTGCCTTAGATTAAGTTTAGCATGTAACACGTTGTAGACTGAAGGTAAATAAATAAATGGATAGCAGTTGGTACTCTACTATGCCGCTTACTTTTACCGTGTACTAAGTAATCTAGGCCACGTTGTTTCATCGATAATTAAATTTGACTAAGTATATGTGTTGAGGAGCTCGATGGCGCACGATGCTAGCGCGTTCGGCTGCGATCGTTGAAGTTAAGCAACTTTCGCAGTGGTCGGTCATTGGATGGGTGACCAAAAATTTACTATCTCGAGCTCCTCCGTGCTTCGGAAGGCACGTTAAGCCGTTGGTCCCGGCTGCATTTGCAGTCGTTAGCACCCACCAATCCGCACTGGGCCCGCGTGGTGGGTCATGGCCCAATCTCCCTATTCCATCCATAGGGAAGGCCTGTGCCCCAGCAGTGGGGACATTAATAGGCTGATGATGATGATGATGATGAAGTATATGTCAGTTCTATAGTAAATGTGCAAAATTTTGAAAAAGGTCATTATTTTTTCTTTTTTTTTCTAGTATTTAAACTAACTAGTACTGATCACCGGAAAGCATCTGTTCATAGCTGGCTCAGCCGATTGCAGATAATAAAGTAGAGAAAAAAAGTATTTGAATTATCTCTTATCTATTAGACAATTCCGTCCGTCCGTCCGTCTGTCTGTGGTGCTGTTTCAGCGGCCAAACCGTAAGAGATAGATAAAGAGAATGTTTAAGTTATAAGTTAAGAATAGTCTGATAAGACTACAAACCGGATTTGAGTAACGTAGCACTTCCGGTTTTCGAGAAATCACGAATTTAAAACGAAACCACACAAAATCTCCGAAGTTGTCAATTTTTTTTTTTTTTTTGTGAACCATTGGTTCACTGGTTTGCTAGTAGTCTTTAACTATGGATGAAACAACACAGCCTTAGTCATTTTGCGTCGCCGGCGTTCAATTAACAGTCTTATTATTATGCCCATAAAAACACTTATAGGTATTCTCCGCTGGTTTCCGGTCGTCAGTCAGCGCACTTTCTGGGTTTCCCCCGTGGAAGCTGCAGTGGAAGCCTTAAGAGAATCCAATAGAGCTCTCAAAGCGCTCATATTATCAGCCCGAGCGGCCGATGCACCGCTGCAGCCTCTCACTATGAGGTTAAACGGTAAGTTGTTTGTACCTTTAGAATTGAACTGACCTAATCCAAAATTCTTGTTTTTTGGTAAACGCTAAAAATGTGATTGACAAGTTGGCCATTTTTTTGATTTTCTATTAAAATGATATAAGTTATACGTTTATGATCATATTTTTTATTATTAATGGTAGGATAGGAATTGTTTTCACGTTTGTTTGCTAAACCAGCCTGTATAACTAAGTAATTAGAAGCTTTGTTAATTAATCATCAAAAAAAAACATGTCACTTATTTTCCGAAATCAGTTTATTGTAATTGGCTTATTTCACTTTGTGCCCATTTTTTACTAAACAACATAAAACAAAAACGTAACTATTAAATATAGAGGCGATTCATTTCTGATGTTATATATTTGATAGATGACCAATTTTTTAATATGTTAGTTTAATAATTAATGATTTTCTAAATTAAAGGAATATTAAATAAATGTCCACGCAACACTGAATGGGGTACTTCAATACTGAGGGAGGCGCGGTATGCGTGTCATTTAAAAGTGACGGAAATAGTACGTTTGTCTTCTTCTGGCCTAAAAGAGCCTGTTTATTAGTAATAAACTGATAGAATACATGTTTTTATGTCGTTTCACGTTTAAAAGTCATATTGCTATTTTTTTTATTTAAGTTACTTGAATTCTAAAGGTGCGATATATAGTGGAGGCGCCTAAACCCCCATAACTTGGGGGGGGGGGGGAATAATAATTTTACCTGCTCAATACTTATATGGTGAGGCTAACCCTAGGCGTAGGTTGAAAGTGGACTGTATCTGGGGGGCGGTAATACACAATCTTATATTACTAAAAATACAAAATAAACTGCGCCTTGCAAATGCCTTATCTATTTAAGGACGATGAAAATGGTTGAAGACCTGGAGACAAAGGAAAGGGGCCGTCCATATATTACGTCATTCTAAATTAGCGGGGGGGGGGGGGGGGGGGGGGGGGGGGGGGGGTTGGTCTGCGGATGACGGTAAATGATAGATAGGGGGGGGTGTTTATTTATTTATTTATAGTTTATTGTTCACGTACAAAAAGATTATTTCTAAAAAGAAATTTCTTCCAGCACACCTAGTAAGTGAGACTGCAAATGTGAGAGGCGGCTAAGGCGCGTACGATACTAAAATAACTCATAATAAACATACATAATGCAACATAGATGTACACAAATACAGTAATAACTACAGATAAAATACTCTAACAATAATATTACATATAATACTAGCTTTTCTCAAATCTGCAATGTTTTAATTTTGTCGAACTGGTAATGACGTCAATTTTGGGAGAAGGGGGGGGGGTCATTAAGAAATGACGATAGGATGATTGTAGGGGGGGGGGGGGTCTAAAATCTGAAAAAATCGATGACGTAATTTATGGACGGCCCCTTCCGTAGAATATGCACAAAGCGATAATATGAGCTCACTCTTTCAAAGAGGAACTCAACGATGTTAAATTTCTGCACCGGGACGTAAAATTTCATTTTTTATCAATCTTAAACATGGAAAACGGACTGAATGACACTCGCGTGAAAATCACAAATCTAGATGACAATAAGCAACTAATAAATTTGACTACCTCCGTGGTTTCGCGTACTCAGAGATCCTGGGTTCGAATCCAGGGGGGGGGTCTAAAATCTGAAAAAATCAATGACGTAATTTATGGACGGCCCCAAAGGAACATGCACACTTACCTCAGCACACCATCCGTTTGGTCGCTAGTCGTCCTTCAAGCACTTGTATCGAAAATAAATCGTTTGCCGGCACAGATTTTGTATTCAGATAAATTGTACAATGTAAAACGTTCACTAATAGTATGATCGCACAGTAATTTTTGGATACTATATCACAACATGTGTGTCTTCCATTACAACGTTCACAAGAGAGAGGCGGAAAAAAAAAGTATAATGTCCTATGCACTCCGCGGTGTCGTCGAAAAGCAGGACGGCCATAGCTAAAAGTGCACATGTATGAAAAGGATGGGAGACAGATTGGATTAAGGCAATTGCAAGTGCATAAACTACCCTATAATGAAATTATTAAAAGCCCGCAAAAATACGAAATCCAACATATAGTGTTCGCCATCAAAAGTGGTTTAAGGACTTTTTCGTAAAGAACTATGTACTTGGTCTTCACAAGCTGTGTTTAAAAGCGTTAGCGAATATCAAATTACAAATTTTCAAAAGTTGTTTTTGACATTTTGACATTCTTCTATGTTCACATCTTAGATGAATCTTAATATTTAGCTAATTTAATGCAATTGGGTCTTGGTAGTTAGCATTAAAAGTGTTCTGAGGAGCTCCATGGCGCAAGTGGTTAGAGTGTTCGGCTGCGATCGTTGAAATTTAAACTTTCGCAATGGTCGGTCGTTGGATGGGTGACCAATAATTTATTATATCTCGCTCCTCCGTGCTTCGGAAGGCACGTTAAGCCGCTGGTCCCGGCTGCTTCTGCTTCTTAGCACCCACCATTCCGCACTGGACCTGCGTGGTGGGTCATGGCCCAATCTCCCTATTCCATCCACAAGAAAGGTCTGTGCCCCAGCAGTGGGGACATTAATAGGCTGGTGATGATAATGATGGAGTAAAACAAATAAAATCATAACTATAAATGCTATTTCTTCTTTCAAATGTTTAATACTTGAAAAAGTATTCATTTGACATTGTGGGTTACCTACAATGCGAAGAGATGGCGCTGCCTTGCAGCTTAAGGCTAGGAAAATTTCGACGCGGCTAATATGGCCGTGGTAGCATAATGGTCGTGGTAGCATTCGCCCGGATAGCGAAGGATGCGGGTTCGAGTCCCGTCCGCTGCCTGGTCCGCGTGGATTTTTTTCTAGTAAACTTTTCTTTAGATTTAAACATCTAGCAGTTAAATGCTTAAAAAATCAATTTGCAGGCATTCTCGACCCGGCGGTGCAAGGCGGCATAGTGAATTACGAACGAGCTTTCCTTACCCCCTCCTACGAGGCGAGGCATCCGGAACACGCGGAGCTGCTGCAGCAACTGAAGGACCTCATAGCCGACCAGATACCGCTGCTCAAGTTCGGTGAGGGATCTGTTCTTTCATTACCATAGTCCTGATTCATTAATACAGGGGGCCAATCGCCTAACGGAAATGCTTTGGAAAACGCTAACGCTTACGATTTTATTTTGTTATTTCTAGCCGCCTGAGGTATTCAAATGCCACGCGCTCTTTCTTTTTCTTTTGCATTGGTAATAACAATATTAAAAAAAATGAGCGTGAGGTATTCGAAAACCTCAGGCGGCTAGAAATAACAATATAAAATCGTAAGCGTTAGCGTTTCCCAAAGCATTTCCGTTAGGCGATTGGCCCCCTGGTCTGAGATCTAAGGTTAAGTTCGATGAGGGTTCTGTACTGTCATTATAAGCTTACTAGCAAACCAGTGAACCAAATATTCACCAATTAAAAAAAAAATGTATTTAATTAATTGAGAACTTCGGAGATTTTGTGTGGTTTCGTTTGAAATAGAAATCACGTGATTTCTCGAAAACCGGAAGTGCTACGTTACTCAAATCCGGTTTGTAGTCTTATCAGACTATTCTTAACTTATAACTTAAATATTCTCTTTATCTATCTCTTACGGTTTGGCCGCTGAAACAGCACCACAGACGGACGGTCGGACTTGTCTAATAGATAAGAGATTTGACGAGCAGTCCCTTCTCAAGAGGTCCTGGGTACGGCAGATGTTTGTGTGATGAATACGATCATTTGTACTCCAGTCATGTATTTATATATTTATCAGTATATGTATTCTATCCGTTGCCCTAGTATCGCATAACATAAGCCTTACAGTGCGTAAATACTTTGGGGCTAGCCTAATTGGTGTGAGTAGTGAGTATTGGAAATAATTATTACTAGTGGCCCGCCCTCGCTTCACTTCGGTGTAGAGCTGTAGTGTAAACTATAGTTTTTGTTCTCAGGCTTGTGATATAAACAATGACTTTATTTATATAATTACACGTGTTATTGTGAGTCCACCATAAAAGATAGATATATGCTGTTGCGGGATATTTTTTAGACAATTTTATGTAGAATATTTTCGTCATACATGATTTCTATGTAACTTTAACCATTAAGGCTGCACACGCGACGGAAGCTTAATAAATGGAGTAACTTCTCCCGTTTTCCCATCATTTCCCTTCACTACTCTGCTCCTATTGATTGTAGCGTGATGAAAAGTATAATATAACCTGCCCAGGTGTATGAAGAATAATTGTACCAAGTTTCGTTAAAATCCGTCGAGTAGTTTTTGTTTCTATAAGGAACATACACACAGACAGACAGACAGATAGACAAAAATTTTACTGATTGCATTTTTGGCATCAGTATCGATCACTAATCACCCCCTGATAGTTATTTTGAAAATATATTTCATGTACAGAATTGACCTCTCTACAGATTTATTATAAGTATAGATTAGGTTATTAAACTACTTGACCGTCACTGAAAGCTTTATATTGAGATAGCACTTCCGTTTCCCGTCGAATTACCATCAGTTTCCGTACTTTTATTCACCTTGTATCCGGTCCAGTGGCGACACCTGGCAGAGGCGCGGCCATTTTTGTTTTCCTATGTTTTGACAGCGCCATATTAACTCATTGGCGTTCTGACTCCCGTCGAAGCAACACGTCCTCAATCTGAGCGATCGTTGTGAGATTTTAAAGGTTTTATTATTATTAAGTGATAAAACTGTAAGTAAAACTATTTTATTTTAACGGTTTTTGCCGTTCGTGTTATTCCAAATAGGTACTTTACGTGTTAAAAGTGAAGGAACCGTAAGTAAAACTATTATTCCTTTTGATAGTTTTTGCAGCCCTTGTGATAAGGGATATTTAAAACAAATATGTTAAATTGTGCAATACGCTTGTTTGAAAAAGTAATAATAAGCCGTGAGTAAAACTAGACGGCAATTCAAGGTGCGTTTTGTTTAAAAAATTAAAGTACCTACATTAAAGTAACTTTTGCAATACTTTACGTCTGTCTTGGTCGTTTATCATAAAAACTATTTTAAGAGTGTTTTCTCTTGGTACTCAATTAATGTTTCCGTATAAGTAAATGTGAAAGTGAATTGGTAAATGTATTACAAAATACTTAATTAAATTGTTTTACAGTTTAGAGTGAATGAATATCGGTCAATATTGACGTTTCAGCCGCCGACTGACTGGCATTATTGGCAAAAACAGCAAGATGTGTCATTATTGTTCTTCGAACAGCTGCAGTAATAATTGGTAGAATTTGTCGTCTTCTGGTATAACGAAAGCGGCATCGCTGCCTCAAGAAAAATAAGCGAGCTTGATATTCCAGCCCTTTTATTAAAAGATTGTTCGAGGGGTAAGTGAACTATGTACAATCTTAATAAGGTATTTCTAATGTCGATATGCCGTTTTCTGAACATGGCCAGCTATCAATATCTAAAGGCTTTTGAATAAAAAGTTCTAACATTTTTACTGACCAATACACGTAATAAAAATTCTCATATGAGTCGTGTGACTAAACTAGGATAAAGGAACGCTCTGTTCGAAAGACATTCAACGTTTATTTTAAATGATATGCTGATGTAAATTAAAAATTATAATCATAGTCCAGGCTTTATCAACCTGGAAACAAACAACGAGGTAAAGAAGTATGATGATAATTTATGATATATCACGTTCCTGACATTAATTTTCTTTCAGCAATTGCATATTTCTAAAATAAAAATGAATCATTGCGGGAAGGCACCTGCTCAGTTAATTTTAATAACGAAAGTGATAAGATAACAGAATCGTTTCTTAGGTCTCTTACAGCTAGCACAAAGCTAAAAAGTAAAAACGAAAGCACTGCTTAAGAAGTTAGTGATCTCTGTGATGAAGCACCACTTAATAAGATACCATTTATCAGGTTGTTTTTCATGTATTAAGTAAGTATTTGTCATGGATTTAAGTGATTGACATTTTATCAACCTAGGCCTAGGCAAGTGATATTCATAAGCTTCATCTCATGAAGCCCAAGGCGTGTCAGGACATGCCCTCCCATGGCGTACCTACACATATGAGTACCGGTGGCAAATCACCCTCGCGGGGTGCATATTATATATAATTTGTTTCCACTACGTGGAATCTTATTAAATGCCTCTAATGCCTTGCCTACATATACGAGTACCGGTGGCAAATCACCCTCGCGGGGTGAATATTATGTACAATTAGTTTCCACTACGTGGAACCTTATGAAATGCCTCTAATGCCTTGCCTACATATACGAGTACCGGTAGCAAATCACCCTCGCGGGGTGCATATTATATACAATTTGTTTCCACTACGTGAAACCTTATGAAATACCTCTAATGCCTTGCTTACATATACGAGTACCGGTAGCAAACCACCTTCGCGGCGTGCATATTACCAAAACTGATGACCGCCCCTCGCGGGGGCATATTATGTATAATTTGCTTCCTCCGTATGGAACTCATTATGAATAAGGACTTGCCTTCCATGGCTTGCCTACACATACAAGTATCAGTAACAAAACATCGTTGATAGAGAAATATCCTCATCAATCTTATAATCGCCCTTGTGGGGTCATATCACACATAATATATTATTTCCATTACGTGAATATCAATATATGTTCTCCTTAGAACATGTTCGCTTATGGAGTTCGTACTATTATGGAAGCACCGGTAACATACGACACTCAAGTGGAGCAAATTATGCATAATTTAACATGTAGTCTATTCATGATTCATAATTTATTTTTGTGACCATGGGGTCTGTAAAAGTGTAAACGATTCGAAACATTAAAAATAAGTAAATTGAAAATATAATAAATGTCGCTTGACATAATTCATTACTTCCATCGCGTGGAAATCCATACATCAACGCAACGCAACATACCCGCTCATGGCTTGCGTACACACATAAGTATCGGCTATAAACTACCCTCTTAATAGACTATAAAGATCGAACATCGAATGTTGACGTACCCCGTTGGGAAGTGCAATGTACGTGGTTTTTAAGGTGTCGCATACTCTGAGGTCTTGGGTTCACCCCGGTGGGGCAAATCATTGTATGATAAAAACGAGTATCTGTGCCTAAGTTTTGGCTGTTAACAAATATGAATTCAAAATCATACTAATCTATGCATCATCATTATGCATTTCTAGGCGTTAGCCCATAACACAAGCCTTTCAATGCCCATTATAAGGCTAGGCTAATTGGTGTGAAGTGTTGACTCGATCACTACGGTTGTTCTACCGTAATATATAATACATTTTAAAAGAAAAAGGAATATCGAAACAATTAATATTTGAAAAAATTTAGTGCAGGTAAGTTGATAAATTGGGAGCTCCATAAATAATTCTTAAATAAATTTAATGGTATCGCATGCCATTCAGAAGCTTGTTTATCTAAATCCAATATATATCAAACTCCAATCTCAAGTGCAGTACACTATAAATATGTAAAGAATTCTAAGTTTTCTGCAATTTAAGGACTATCTGCCAGATAAATAGATGATAACTTATTTTCTCTTGAAAATAACAAAAGTAAACCAAATGGGTTGCTCACTCTTTTGATCGCGTAATGAGAGAAACTTGCAATATTAGAAATGTCGTGTATGTGGTGTCTGAGGTGGCCAACATGATCATTTTGATATATAAGTGGTGCTATGTACTGAAGAAAGATTGCACGATCTACCTAATTCTTGAAAGGTTTTTGAAGATCATTGTATGCAATTATCCACTTTATGTTTTAGTAAAAATTACTGAAAACTGTTCTTAATATTAAACTTACGCTTTCTAACCTTGCCACGACTGTCTGGAATAAATATACTTCAAACCCTACGCATAGTACATGCACACCTCATGTAAGCTGTGTAAATGTTATAAATAACTAAATCTTTATTTAGTATTAAGTAACACATATAAATGACTGAGATCTAAGAACTGAAAAACAAAAGGAAAAATTACAATCAATTATAGATTCCAGGATGGCAAATGAATTTCATAAAATCTGGTCTGAACTTCGTAATAGCATAATTTATCACGGCAACCCAGCAACAATATAAAAACTATACCTGAGAATTTCGTTGTAAAAACGTAAACTTCAGAAGTTGATCGGTTTCAACATTTTTGTCATTCCGTGGGGTTGTATCAACCACTCCCTACTTCTAACAATAATTATGAATTCACTGCAATCGACCTTGCAATCACTTCCCGCCAATCTAATATGAAAGCTTGGGAAGTATAGTTGAAGAACACGGCTCTACCACTTAACTTCAATCTTCACTTCAATCAAATAGATATGCTAGCACTACGCTTTTCAACATATTCTACAAAGAGCGACAGCTCTGTCTTAAACAGCTATGAGATTTCTCGGAAACGCTGGCTTGCGTGGTTACATTGGTCTAGGAACAAGAATGTTTATCGGAATAATCCCGCAAGTTGTGGACTCGGCCCTGAACTAACACGATTTTTGAGAGACTTATTTTTAACAGTAGTTTTTACATGATATACCAATGGATGATAAGTCTAATTACCTAAGCTCACCTGTCTTGGCAAACACATATATATTGAAGTCGATTGTTTTTAAAGAATCAGTCCGTAACCTACTATTCTGTGTCTATAAGTTAACTTATTTCCTTTTCTTCAATAATGTACTCGTTACATCATAATGATCTGTTTCAAATACTTCGTCATATATGTTGTTCTGAACGTCATACAGTAATTATGCTGCGTATTATTTGGTTCATTGTATTTGTTTCATTGCTGCATTGTATTTGTACCGACGAAGATTAGTTTAGCCTTGTTTTGGTTCAAAACAGGTGAAAGTAGTTAAAGACAATCCGATTGGTGACTTGTACCGAATAATGGTAATCGTAAGTGGGACCCTGATTTTTGGTACTTAAGTAAAAAGTACAGTCTTGTAAAATGTAAGACTCAGTATCGAACAACTTTACATCTTTTTCTCGCGTTCGTACGCCTTAAAGATACAAATTAATGCTACACAAGGAAGCGTCCGGTCATTAACAAAGCAAATATATGTAGAAGTATATATATATATATATATATATATGTATATATATATACTTCGCGAGTTTTAAGCAAAGGAAAATAGCGATCAGCTAATATATATGTTAAAGCAGCTTCGTAAGCTTGAAGAAATTAAAGGCGTGATTCAAATAATATTATTTGATTCACTTTTAAGCTTACTCGTTTCTTTATACAGTTTCATATAATCTGATAAATGTTAATATTTAAATTTATCATAAATTGACACATTGGCGTATATATCTATGTACGTGGCGATCACCAGGCGATAACAAACAGGTCTCAATATAAAGCTTTCAGTGACGGTCAAGTAGTTTAATAGCAGCATTTTACCTGAAATAAAATGCATATTAAAATACTTACCTCACTGAAAGCTTTCACTTTAAATTCTGCCTGGTGAAATAATTGAGCCAATGAGTTAATATGGCGCTGTCAAAACATAGGAAAACAAAAATGGCCGCGCCTCTGCCAGGTGTCGCCACTGGACCGGATACAAGGTGAATAAAAGTACGGAAACTGATGGTAATTCGACGGGAAACGGAAGTGCTATCTCAATATAAAGCTTTCAGTGAGGTAAGTATTTTAATATGCATTTTATTTCAGGTAAAATGCTGCTATTATTACTGGCACAAAATAGAAAGTACAGAATCGGCGGAAATTTAATGAGAAGCGCGGGAAATTATGTTCAAACTACGTATGTGTGCGTCTATTATTTCCACATTCGCAGGGCCGTGGCCTGGTTGCTAAAATTAAAAAAATAAAAGTGCACTATAATTATTAAAATAGTAATTTAAGATATTAGTGCGGTAAGTTAGTTATTACCAACGAGTTTTACCATAGTCACGAGTGTGTAAATACCAATTCCGCACGAATGTCATACAAAGTTTTTCAACACATTTGCGAGAAAACAGTATATTTAACTTATTTAATGAAGCAAACTTTCTGTAATAAGAAAATAACGCGGAGTTCTAAATTGTGCCACGTGGGGATTTCAACTGTTAGATGTTTTAATTTTAAGAAAATTTTACTGGAGGAAATTCCACGCGGACCAAGCAGCAGATGGTACTCGAACCCACCCGCACCCTTCAGTTTTTCTAGTTAAGTTTAAACAAGTTACAGTTAAAATGTTTAGAAGATAAAAAAATCTCTTATCTATTAGACAAGTCCGTCCGTCCGTCTGTCTGTGGTGCTGTTTCAGCGGCCAAACCGTAAGAGATAGATAAAGAGAATATTTAAGTTATAAGTTAAGAATAGTCTGATAAGACTACAAACCGGATTTGAGTAACGTAGCACTTCCGGTTTTCGAGAAATCAGGTTTTGGTGAACATTTGGTTCACTGGTTTGCTAGTAAAACTATAATTCGCTATCTGTTTCTTAGGTAGAAGGGCATAGAAAGCCTCTCTGAGTCTGTTTCTCAGAAAGGTCTCCCAATTTTGGAACCGGTGGTAGTTTACGGTAGTTAGGGTCAAATAAATAAACTCAAAATTACAAACAAAAATTAAATAAAGTACTTTATTAACTAACAAATTCATACATAGACAATAAAATTTTAAAAATCTTCCAATGAAATATCCGAACGCTCAACAAAAGGCTTTCGAAGGTAGCTCGACAAAGTAAATAAAAAATCATTATTTCCTCTGACTTCTATTCTTACTCCTTTTCTGTGCACGCTGCACGACTTAGGAATTCACTTCCTGAGGGTATCAGAAAGGCTCGTTCGCTTAATTCCTTTAGCGATCAAGTAAAAAGCTATTTCCTTTATATATCTTAAATTCATTTAATATCCTATTTCTTTGTTTCTCTTATATTTATGTAAGTATAGCTCCTGTATTTACTTTTGCACCCTTCTGTATTTCTCTATTATTATTCCTTTTCTACCATAGGTTGCCTGGAAGAGATTGCTGTTTAGCAATAAGGCCGCCTATTGTACTCTTTCTTCTGTTTTATTTGTTTTTGTCTTGTGTCCTTTGTTGTGTGCAATAAAGAATATTTATTATTATTATTATTCTGACGATGCAGACCTGGAAAGGCTGAGAAACGTCAATAAATAAAATAAAGTTCGTGCATTAACCCGTTAAAACTAGTTTTATATAGTTATAATTTTTATTATTTTTAAAGCATGTAACTGCTTGATGCTTAAATCTAAAGAAAATAAAAATAGAAAAAAATCCACGCGGACCAGGCAGCAGACGGGACTCGAACCCGCACCCTTTGCAATCCCGGCGAATGCACTGACCAATTATGCTACCGCGGCCCTCACGGACCACGTCGAAATTCTTCTAGCCATTATTAAGCTGCAAGGCAGCATTTGACATTGTGGGTTACCTATAATGCGAAGAGATGGCGCTGCCTTGCAGCTTAAGAATGGCTATAAGAATTCGATGTGGTACGTGAGGGCCGCGGTAGCATAATTGGTCAGTGCATTCGCTCGGATTGCGAAGGGTGCGGGTTCGAGTCCCGTCTGCTGCCTGGTCCGCATGATTTTTTTCTAGTTATATTTTCTTTAGTTTTATATCTCTTATCTATTAGACAAGTCCGTCCGTCCGTGGTGCTGTATCAGCGGCCAAACCGTAAGAGATAGATAAAGAGAATGTTTAAGTTATAAGTTAAGAATAGTCTGATAAGACTACAAACCGGATTTGAGTAACGCAGCACTTCCGGTTCTCGAGAAATCACGTGATTTCTATTTCAAACGAAACCACACAAAATCTCCGAAGTTCTCAATTAATTAAATACATTTTTTTTGTTTAAATCAGGTTTTGGTGAACATTTGGTTCACTGGTTTGCTAGTCTTTATATATATAATTCTTCTGTGAGTGTGTATGTCACTGAACTTCTCTTAAACGACTGGACCGATTTTGATGAAATTTTTTGTGTGTGTTCAAGGGGATCTGAGAATGGTTTAGATTCACAATTTTGTCCGCTGGACAACCCCTATTTTTTTAGGGCGGTACGAAGTTCGCTGGGTCAGCTAGTCTTTATATATATAATTTTTCTGTGAGTGTGTATGTCACTGAACTTCTCTTAAACGACTGGACCGATTTTGATGAAATTTTTTGTGTGTGTTCAAGGGGATCTGAGAATGGTTTAGATTCACAATTTTTGTCCGCTGGACAACCCCTATTATTTTTAGGGCGGTACGAAGTTCGCTGGGTCAGCTAGTTTTATATAATTCTCTAATCGTTTGTCCGTAAGGTCTGGATGTGCACGGGGGCCGAGTGCCCAACGGTATGGAGGCGTTGCACGCACATCTGTTGGCGTGCTTCAGGCGCGTGCAGCACCACGTGCACCAGCGATATGGCAGGAAGGTGAGTCACATCATCACAGCAACAAACAAACGGGGAAAAATATGGACGATTCAAAAGAGTTCATCATCATCATCATCATTATCATCATACATATTTTATTACCTCAATACCTACATTCGAATTAATAATAATCATAATCATAATCAAAATCATTTATTCAGTTTAGGCTGTTACAAGCACATATGAATGTCTAGAAGCTACGCCATCGGTTCGTAAATCTACGGCGGGAGACCTTGTACTGAGAAGAACCGGCAAGAAACTCAGCAAGGGCTGTTTTTTTCTCCCTGTTTTATTATTTACAGAGTCGTCAAATTGAAAAATGACTTCAGAGGTGATTCATGAAGTCACCTTTCATTACATAATTATTAAATATACATTAATTGTTTACCTGCATTTTGATTGCTGTGTCATTTAGTATAAATAGAATATAATCAATACATATTAATATTTAGTACGTTCTTGGCTGAGTCCCTGAGAAATCGACTTGAACGGATTTACTGTACATACAGTCACGTGCTTTAATATTGAACTAACCGAAAGGGGAATATTATCTTGACCTGAAGAGCGAACGACCATTGTCGACTTTTTGGCGATCTATCGACTTAGTATCTCTCTAACCTGCGCCTGCGCTTATATTATATACACATTATTTAGAGCTATTAAATTCAATTTTAAGTACTTCATCATCAGCCTATTAATGTCCCCACTGCTGGGGCACAGGCCTTCCCCAAGGCAATCACAACATTCACAATCACAGTACGCGGGAGCGGATGCGAAATGCGAATGATTTTTTTATTTGTATTTTAGGATTGTCAAATTGACATTTGGTTTTTTTATTTAGAAAAAGCAAAGGAATCATGGTTTTTACAGTCACTTGAGTAATATTTTGAAGTAAAATTCTGTCCTTTGAAGATTTAGGGTTTCCATATCAATAAATATTAATCATTATATAACTTCTTTCCACGATTCACTAAAAATAAGGCAAAAGTAGTTTTATGTAGCAAATAATTTTGGCTTTATTTTAAGACCAAATTCAACTGTATACAAGTTTAGCATTTTTTCTATGAAAAGTGCCGGGTCTCCTTTCCCAGTGGTCGGTCATTGGATGGGTGACTAAAAATCTCCTATCTTGATGATAATCACTTAAATAAGACTTGTTGCACCTGCGATGATTTGATGTTGCATATTTATGCGATTGCTTCAAAAGCAAAAATATTTTGAATGTTTATTTTTGTTTTCCATTATACAACATATGTTGTTTTTATTCATTATTTTGACGCCTTACTAAATAGCAAAGCATAACTAAATACACCTTATGTTATCTTACGCATTCACCTGGTAGATGTTTAAATCTAAAGAAAATTGTACCTGATTTTATTTATTTTTTAAGCATTTAACTGATAGATGTTTAAATGTAAAGAAAAGTTTACTAGAAAAAAATCCACGCGGACCAGGCAGCGGACGGGACTCGAACCCGCATCCTTCGCTATCCGGGCGAATGCACTGACCATTATGCTACCACGGCCCTATTAGCCGCGTCGAAATTTTCCTAGCCTTAAGCTGCAAGGCAGCGCCATCTCTTCCCTTATGTTGACGAAGTTCCTCCATGAAACGATGAATTATTAGTCTACACGCGTTATGTAATAAATGTTTGCGACAGATGTTCAATAACAATCCAAGCAAATGTTTAAAGTTAAATTAAAATGCCACTTAATGACATTTGCAATGCATGTAAAACGTTTGTTTCCCTGTGCAATCAATTTGCAGAGATGGTCTTCTGAACTAGGTGGTACATGACCCCTGCTGTTATTCTTTGGAAACGAGTGACGCACATACACACGTAGAGAAATTTAACACCAGCGTTTTAGACACATTTGTGTTGAATATGAATTTTTAATTATTGATTTATTTATTGATGAGGGCATAAAATGTATCCTTGTCAGTCTCTTTACAGAATGAAAAGGAGTGACGATATTACGAGTAGGTTTCGGTTTGAGATTGGAGAACTGTGCAGCGTGTTATATATATAGCGCACCTTACAGGCCCTGCCAGAATACCAGCGCTGTTGTCACTCGCATAGTAACGTGTGGTAACAGCATCATGCTGAGGCAGGGTCCTGATTAACCATTGATTTACTTTTATAGTTTTAAGTTAGTTTTTAATTTTGTTTTTTATGATAATGTTTATGTGTTTTTTCATTGTTCTTGTAATACTCGTAAGAAATGGTTAATAAAAAAAAATCTCTCTCTCTCTCTCTCTCTCTCAGATGTGCGACTTCGAACCCGAGACCCCGGAAGTGCAGTTGAGGAGTATGCGGGATAGCCTACCTTCAGACCCCGCCACCGCCAACAACAGGATATCAGATATCTCGACCGGAAACGAGTGAGTTACCATTACAGATCTGTACCCTTAGCACGAACCAATATCGAATTCGTAACGTTTGCGAGTCCGTAATGTCATTGTCAAATGTGTACTGATTTTTAGTTCTCGTTACGTACTTTGTGGCGCTGCTGTTCAAGTTTCCATACAAAATGTGACATTGACATATCGCACTCGCAAACTATTCGAATTCGATAGCGCTTCGTGCTTGGGGTACGGATAATCGGGTGCTTATTTAAATAAAGATATTTTTTTGTCTAAATTTATGTCTTTGGTACAGCCAAAATGTTACATAAAAATAAAGTCTCGGGATTCCGGGATCGCATAACTAATCGGATGTATATTTCATCATCATCATCATCATCATCAGCTTATTAATGTCCCCACTGCTGGGGCACAGGCCTTCCCTATGGATGGGTTAGGGAGATTAGGCCATGACCCACCACGCGGGCCCAGCGCGGGTTGGTGGGTGCTAACGACTGCAGATGCAGCCGGGACCAACGGCTTAACGTGCCTTCCGAAGCACGGAGGAGCTCGAGATAGTAAATTTTTGGTCACCCAGCCAATGACCGACCACTGCCAAAGTTGCTCAACTTCAACGACCGCAGCAGAACGCGATAACCACTAGCGCCATCGAGCTCCTCGGATCGAGCGGATGTATATTAACTGAAAGTTAAATTTTAATTTACCATTCAACTATGTATTGATGTTTGGTTAATAAGAAAACATAAATGACACATAAAATTATGAATTAATAATTGTAATTTTGTTGACATAATGAAGAAATGGCTATTGACTTGAAAAATTGGCATGTACTGTATGATTATTATGTGTAATATAATGGATAGTTATTATATAGTTTTATGGGAATATCACAGGAGTCTTATATAATTAATATATATATAAACTAGCAAACCAGTGAACCAAATGTTCACCAAAAAAAAATGTATTTAATTAATTGAGAACTTCGGAGATTTTGTGTGGTTTCGTTTGAAATAGAAATCACGTGATTTCTCGAAAACGGGAAGTGCTACGTTACTCACATCCGGTTTGTAGTCTTATCAGACTATTCTTAACTTATAACTTAAATATTCTCTATATCTATCTCTTACGGTTTGGCCGCTGAAACAGCACCACGGACGGACGGACGGACGAACTTGTCTAATAGATAAGAGATATTATGTATTTTTATAATAGTAACTATTGTTTTTGTTTTGTAAGTAATCGTTATCCACGGGAACTCTGCCGACAAACTATTATAATAGTTTGACAGAAATTTTCATGTATAAACAATGTGTGTACTTAGAAAATCAATAAAAAAAAATAAAAAAAAAAATATTATTGTAATTGTGTTGACATAATGAAGTAATGGCTATTGAATTAGAAAATTTGACATGTATTGATTTAATAAATAATAAATTTGACATTTGGAATGCAACTATTACTTAATTTAAAATTGAATTTTTAGATAATTTATTAGTATTTTGTATGCTCTTCCAAGGGCGTAACATATGGAACTTTTTATATTATTTACCAGCTGTAACAAACTATGTTTCACGCAAATTAACTTTCATTTCAATATAATTTTATTTTTTCATTAAGGACATCTCACACAATATGTTTATGTTATATACAGGGCATCTTTTGTATTTATGCGTTTATAAGATCTCAAAGAGTATGTATACACTTAAATTTGATTATTTCTATAAAAAAGCGATTTCCATAATAGCCAACGTCTCAATTTTAGGAAATTATTCATCCGATTATCCGATCTCCAGTTATCATCGAAATCATGTTATATACATTATGTTTGAAATATATATATACATAGAAATAATGCTATGGTGTTTGAGCGTACACTCTGACAATCAAGCGTAATTTTTTTAACTACGCTATGGGAATAGACAAAGGTCATGGTAAAATTTTGTATGAGCGACTGCTCTAGTAATGTGTAAATATTGTACTTAGTAATATATAATGCAGAATGGCTGAATATTTATAATTTCTATGAAAAAGGGCTCAGGAACTTTTGATAAAGTCACAATCTTGAAAATTATAAGATCTCCTACGACGTAATTACCTTGCTACATTTATAGACAATTTCGCATTTTCTTAGAATATTTTTTTACATTTATCTGATTAACACTTCACAAAAAGCATTTTAAAAGTAAAAATAAATACAAATAATTTGTTCTTGTTGGCCTGACATGAAATCTGTGAAGTTTTATTTTGTTCATTTGCAAAAATCAAAGCATTAATTAGCATACAGCCTTCTCTGAAGCCTGATCAGAAAAATAAAATCTATTATTTTAGGCCTTCAGTGATTTGTTATAATAAAAATAAGGGCCAAATATGTCATAGTTTTTGGGAGTTTTAAATTAATATTGTTTATTTTGATATACTGACAGAAATATTTTTAGTATACATTTATTGTTCATTTATTTTAGTAAAACGGAACATTTTCCTTTTGAAACAGACATGAAGTCAATTTTTATACTTTTAAGTATTTGATTATTTCACGAAAGTTGTGTGAGAATTATAAACACGTAATAATTAATAAAAAAATATTATAAAATTATGGGCTAGTGCAAAATAATTATACACGTTAAGGGCAGTTTCTTAGCCATGTCCTTTCCATCCGAACTAATACCCAACCAAAAACCATTAGTGGCGTGTTGGCAGGTTGCATTTGACATTAGATCGCTTTTTGATTCGGTAAGGTAACCAAGGTATCCGCAAGCCAATATACAAAGGTATCCAATTTGACACTTGTACGCACGCTGTTCAAAGTATGGTTCATAGCAACATATATTTGTTGATAAAATCCACGCGGACCGGGCAGTAGACAGGACTCGAACCTGCACCCTCCGCTTTCCGGGCAGTTGCAATGACCATTATGCTACCGCGGCCCTATTTGTCCGTGTCGAATTTTCTCTAGTATTTCTTAGGTTGCAAGGCAGTGCCATCTCTTCGCATCGTAGGTAACCCACAATCTTAAATGAATACCTTTGCAAGTGTTAAACAATGGAAAGAAGGAATAGCAATTATAGTTATATTTTTATTTTTTTAGCATTTAACTGTAGTTGCGGCACGCTATAATGGCCTTTATATGATGTTTGTGCGTTTATGATGTCAGATATTCTAAATTCGAAATTAGTTCTACGTGTGAAAGAAATAATTATTGTTCTTTATTGTCATTAGAGACGCGCATTTAGTCATAAAATTTATCGATTCGATAATTTTAGGGTGTAGAATTAAAATTTTACAATACTATATAAAATCATGCACTAACTTATATTGAGGTTACCAAAGCTTTTTCAACTTATAAAAAGCATAATATCATTTTCTTTTTTTTATTCAAAAATAGCTGCTTTAAACTGGATATGTAATCTGTAAGTAAATTAATTTAATTGTTTTATTTTGATTATCATTAAAAAATGTTATACCATACAAATAATAATATAATCATAGTGTACTTATTGGCCACATACATGGGCAATTGTGTTGTTCGAAATTCAAAATGCTTAAACATGAAATGAATAAGATCGTTACATATAGGATCGCTAGGCGTTAGTAAAATATGTATGTTTTCATTTTATTTATTCTTTACAGACACTTTTTACAATATTATTAAAAAAAACATCCAAATTTTTGCTACCTGGATGTAACTCTGTGTTGCGCTCTTGGAGTGGTGGACTGTAGTTTCTGGTTGCAAAGAAAACCACCGGTTGCATAGATACGATATTTTATTATAAAATTTACACAGCACATGTAATCGCACAAGAACGAAATTATGCAGAGAGATGGTAAAAAACTTTAAACGGAAAACAACATAACTGTAGTGTTTTATCGGGAACCGGTAAGTAAAAAAGGCACACGTCCCGCGATAGTTAACGTTTATTCACGACTGCTTTGACATACGAGAAGAAACGTCCTAAATTTTTTAAATTATAAAAAATTGCGTTGCCAGCACTATATAGGATTTTTTCGATAACACGGTTGACTTTTCGCATCACTATTGCAATGTGTCAAAACGGCCATCATATCGTGCCATGACTAAATATGTTTATGCAAAGGACAATGGGCAAAACACACCCAGCTCCGCCAACAATGTAATTATAGTTCATTCGCGTTAAGAAAATAGTGACTCATCAGTGCAACTGCAGGGTAAGGGTGTATTCATAATGGAGAAAAAATTAAACATTTTTTTTCAAAACATTAAATAAGTTTAATAGAAAAATAATAAAGTATCAATGATTTTAAACATGTTAAAATATTCCTATTAAGGTAATTTTTAATGTCAACTTAAACGCTATATTAGTAGAGTAACACATATTTGGATTAATCGTAATAAGTACTAAAATAAAAAAATACAAAATTGTCTTAAAACTAAGTACTTAAATCGCTAATCAGTATCGCTAGATTCTCCCGTTACATTTATTACGAATGAATTTTGTTCTGCATGTTCCATGACGTCATCCAAACCCCACATGGTATTTTCTTCGCGTATCACGTGGTCGCAGCATTTCTTCCACCGATTGGCGTCTACTAACGCGATTGCGTCATAAAATTTTTTTTTTACGTCACTCATTTTGAATGTATAGTTCATTCGCGTTAAGAAAATAGTGACTCATCAGTGCAACTGCAGGGTAAGGGTGTATTCATAATGGAGAAAAAATTAAACATTTTTTTTCAAAACATTAAATAAGTTTAATAGAAAAATAATAAAGTATCAATGATTTTAAACATGTTAAAATATTCCTATTAAGGTAATTTTTAATGTCAACTTAAACGCTATATTAGTAGAGTAACACATATTTGGATTAATCGTAATAAGTACTAAAATAAAAAAATACAAAATTGTCTTAAAACTAAGTACTTAAATCGCTAATCAGTATCGCTAGATTCTCCCGTTACATTTATTACGAATGAATTTTGTTCTGCATGTTCCATGACGTCATCCAAACCCCACATGGTATTTTCTTCGCGTATCACGTGGTCGCAGCATTTCTTCCACCGATTGGCGTCTACTAACGCGATTGCGTCATAAAATTTTTTTTTTACGTCACTCATTTTGAATGTAGTATTATTCGCAGCAATATAATTTTTTATTTGGGCCCACACCATTTCAATCGGATTTAATTTACAATGGTAAGGCGGCAGACGAAGAATTGTAATGCCATTGTTTTTAGCAGTCTCATCTACTAAATATTTATTATATTGTGGGGCGATTTCGGCGACTTTCAATAATAATTCTTTTTTCAAATAACTCATATCCATAGATATGTCTTTGTTTTGCAACCACTCTAGTATTTGCTGCTTATTCCAACTGGCCGTGGGTATTTTTTCAACTTTTACCGAATGGTAGGGAGCGTTATCCATGACAACCACACTTCCTGGTTCAAGCTTCGGTATTATACCATTGAACCAATTAAGGAATCTTTCACCATCCATTTCTTCATGATAATCTTTTGTAGATTTAGATTCAAAGACTAGTAAACCATCTTCCAGGAATCCTTTTTCGCTGCCAATGTGCAATATAATTAACCTTTTCCCTTTCCCTGTCGGAGCTTTTGGGCCGGTTGATAAGCCATCTTGGAAAGCTTGTCTTTTATTCTTGATTGTTGTATCCAACCACACTTTTGTTTTTACGTGTCCGGCGTTTACCCACGTTTCGTCGAGATAGTAAATGGTTTTATTAGCGTTTCTATATTCTTTTATTTGTCTTAAATATTTTCGCCTCCATAAAACAATATCTTCTCTTTCCACTAACAATTTTCTACTATCTTGTTTATTGAAGTCAAAACCAAGCTCGTGCAGTATTTTGTGAAGTGTTGTACGTTTGAAAACAGGAATATCTTCATCAGCTTCGCAAAGTGTTATTATTTTGTCCAATGTTGGATACTCGTTATTTAAATATATAGAGTGTACTTTTCTCCTTATTGCACATTTGTCTAGTTCATCTAATTTATCGACCGTGGATAGTCGAGCTCTTTTTTTCACAGGTGATTTCAATGTATTCGTTTCTTTTTGTTCTTTTATAATTTTATAAACAGTGTTTTCGGACACACCGCATGCACTTGCAGTTTTAATTACTATGCTCTCCACAGTCTCATTTAAATCAATCTGTTTGAAATATTTATAAACATTGTAAATTACGCGTCTCTCTCCGCTATGTATAATTGATCCACTTTTATTTTTTTTAATAGGTGAGATATCCATTTTCCAAATTTAATTTTAAACAAGTAGTACGCAAAATACACAACCGATCAGTTCGAAGGTCTGACTTCAACTGAGCACTGTGAACTCGCCTTACTAATTTCTAGCGTTTTAATTGGCTAGGGGGCGTGGCTTGGCCGGCAGTCGGTGATGAGTCACTATTTTCTTAACGCGAATGAACTATAGTATGAATTGATAGATCTATGAAAAACTAGCATTTTTTATTATGACACCGAAAATAAATATCCTGGGAGTCAAAAGATATGACACCGTAAAAAATATCCTGGTAGTCAATAGATATGACACATGGCCATATTTAAGAAGCTGAATAAATTCATTTTATAGTAACTTCATTTTATATTATTAGTAATCATAATAATATGCCATATCGTATTATACAATCAGATATACGAACAAGCCTGCCGAGCGTCCTGCGCTTGCTCTTACCGAGGCATTTTAAAACGGTTTACGGTTGCTGAAGGACTTGCAGTTGCAAATAGACGACTCGTCTTACTTCGTTGTGATTGTGCGAGTTAACTTAAAATAACTAAAGACCCCCGGGATGGAATTTGATGCGCTTTGGCACAGATGATCTTGACTATAATACCTTTCAAACAAATGTACTTTAAGCCGTGGCGGACGTGGGTGCAGCGTCCATATATTTTTGCCCAATGTCCTTTACCTGTGTTTAGATACTATAGTCCATCATTTGTAATCGTCACCTTCTATTTGAAAATGTTGTAATCTTTTACAGCTCGGCTGCAAGATCGAAGTTTTTCAGTTTCAACAGTGCAATAAACCCATTAGCTAGGTGAGTCATACATTTTCATTCAATGAACGGTTATCTACTATATAAAAATAAGTCGGGTTTTCCTTCCTGACGCTATAACTTCAGAACGCACGAACCGATTTCCACGGTTTTGCATTCGTTGGAAAGGTCTCGGGCTCCGTGGGGTTTATAGCAAAGAAAATTCAGGAAAAATTATAAAAAAAAATCTTCTTTTAATCACCAAACGAAATGTTACATAAAAAGAAGCCATCTGGTGGCGAAACGGAGTTCGCCGGGTTTGCTAGTAAAATCTAAATATGTAAGAAAAGCATGTCTTTATGAAGTAAACTCTGCTACCGCGGCCCTGATGGCCGTGTCGAATTTATTCTAGCATTTCTTAGGCTGCAAGGCAGCAAAGCATTGTAGGTAACCCACAATGTCGAATGAATACCTTTACAAGTATTAAACATTTGAAAGAAGAAAGAGCATTTATAGTTTTATTTGAATTCTTTGTGCATTTAACTGCTAGATGATTAAATCTAAAGAAAATAGTTACTAGGAAAAATTCCACAGGCGGGACGAGTCCCGTCACCTGTTACAAATATTATTTTTTTATTAGAACGGTGAAAGAACGATTATCCTCTTCATCATCATCATCACCAGCTTATCAATGTCCCCACTGCTGGGGCACAGGCCTTCCTTATGGATGGAATAGGGAGATTGGGCCCACGCCCAGTGCGGATTGGCGGGTGCTAACGACTGCAGATGCAGCCGGGACCAACGGCTTAACGTGCCTTCCGAAGCACGGAGGAGTTTGAGATAGTAAATTTTTGGTCACCCATCCAATGACCGACCACTGCGAAAGTTGCTTAACTTCAACGATCGCAGCCGAACGCGCTAACCACTTGCGTCATGGAGCTCTAGGTGCGTTTATTTTATAGAAATTAGATTTAGGGTCTGTTCCACAATCGCTCTGTAAAGTTCTCAATAAGCTACTCAGAACATGTCTGCTCAGTAAACAAATGGAGATTTTGACGTTGACAGGCCAATCTTGCTTGTTTTTAAACGCTTTTACAAAAAAAATAACAACATCCTTATTCTTTATGATTTTATTTTTTCAAGCTTAAATGCTTAAAAATGCTACTAGATGTTTAAATCTCAAGAAAAGTTTTACTAGAAAAAAATCCACGCAGACCAGACAGCGGATGGGACTCGAACCCGCACCCTTCGCAATCCGGGCGAATGCACTGACCAATTATGCTACCATGGCCCTGATGGTCAGTGCATTAGCCCGGATTGCGAAGGGTGCGGGTTCGATTCCCGTCCGCTGCCTGGTCCGCGTGGATTTTTTTCTAGTAAATCCTTATTCTTTACTGAGCAGATTAGCTTATATATTTCATTATCTGTTATCCTCTTATTTTAGTAGAAACAGTAGCGGCGGCGTGGTTAGTTACTTCAACACATTGCAGAGCACGCCCAAACGACGCGGCGACAAGCGGAGAGCCAGGAAGGTGAGAAATGTAATGACTCTCACAAAATTGTACCTTAAATAGTAGAACCAGTTTAATACACACACACACACACACACAAAACACTTAAACTTCTTCCTTTGGATCGCATCCAGCACCGAGCGGCTCGAATCGTCGACGACCAGGTCCTTTCCGATCAGCTTGATCCTTTGGCTTTGCGTAGGGATGTAGCTTCGCTCTGCATCTTCTATCGCATTTATCACGGGGAGTGTTCTGAGGAATTGTTCGGATTAATTCCAGCTGCTGCATTTCGCCATCGTACATCGCGACAAAAATTTCATCCCCATCATCTTGATGCGTGGCTATCCACAACCGTGCGTTTTTGTCGAATTTCTTTACCACGTACGACAAAACTGTGGAATATGTTGTCGCCAGCAGTGTTTCCGGACCTATACGACCCAAGAACCTTCAAAAAAAGGGCGTACTCCTACCTTAAAGGCCGGCATCGCATTTGAGATACTCCTGGTGTTGCAAGTGTCCATGGGCGACGGTGATCACTTACCATCAGGTGAGCCGTCTGCTCGTATGCCCCCTATAACATAAAAAACACACACACACACACACACACACACACACAAAACACACACACACACACAACACACACACACACACACAAAACACACACACAAACACACACACACATACACACACACACATACACACACACACACTCATGCGCACTTATTCATTCTGATCGAATTTTGATTGCTTTAATTATTTCAATAATGTATGTCTTATTGTAAAACTGTTTTGTAACATAAATAGATATGATCTATGTATTCGGAAGTGGGTACTGACGCCTGTCACACAGGTCTTTGTCCTATTGTAGGGGTCAGGGACTCCAGTATATTCAAGTATGTAATAAATTTATGTGAAAATAAATAAATACCTAGTCAGGTCATAAATTTTGTCACATGTTTAATATAAAATAATTGGAACAAGTTAATCATTGTGTAACCATTTATATATCAAAATGAACTTAACAAAACATAGATTCTTATGACAATAAAGTTTATGCAAAATGACCTCCGTGATTTTGAATACAGGCCTTCAATCTGCGTGGCCAGTCGTCTATCGCAGCACGAACGAGGTCCATGTCAATATCGGCGGCTGCCTTAATCAAGGATGTCTTGAGTGACTCCAAATTGGGATGAGGCTTTGAGCACGCCTTTTCCTCCAAGTGTTGCCATATCTTGTAATCTAACGGACTCAAATCTGGACTGGAGGAGGGCCAGTCTTCGTGCCGGATGAAGTCGATTTCACGCGCCGCCAGCCAGTCTTGTGTGCTTTTCGCTCTAAAAGCTGGCGCCGAATTTTGTTAGAATACCCACTGCCTGTTATTGAACATGGTATGAGAAACAGGTTGCACAAGGTTCGTCAGGACTGTATTTTGATACACAACTGCATTCGTTTTTACACCTTTCTCACAAAAATGGACCTCTGTTAAGCCCCAATAAGAAACTCCCAACCATACCATGAGCGAGGATGGAAAATGACCTCGTTGGACACGCGGAATACGGTTGCTCGCTTCTTCACTACTGTGTGCGTACACCTTATCATTTTGTTTGTTGTAGCTCTCTTTTACTGTAAAATTTTTTTCATCCGAAAAAAGAATTTCCTGATATTTTTTTCCCGCGTACCGCTTCAACAAAGCGCGGCATCTCTTCAGTCTCGGGTCCATTAGACGAGCATTCAAACGATGTTTGTTTTTCTTCGATATGCCCGAAGCCCTAAATCTTCATTTAACACCCTTTTCACCGTGGTTCTGCTTAACCCCATCTGAAGGGCCAACAGTTTCTGCATACGTTTGGGATTTCTTTGAATTCGCGCCTTCACAGCTTTTATTCACTGCTGGAGTCCTAACAGACCGAGGGCGACCACTTCTTGACCTGTCATCTACACTAGAGTCTTCATTGTATCGTTTGATGGTACGATAAACGAATCTTTTGGTTATATTCAAATTTTACAGTATGTCAAAAATTTGAATTGACGCGTAACCGCAACGATGCAACGCAATAACTGCAACACGGTCTTCTTTAAGCGTCCACTCCATATTTAAAAATGAGTAAAATTCTAAAAAGTATACATTTTTATTTTCATGAACAATTCGAAATTCGAATTCAATAAACTTTTTTGGTGGCCAGCATTCTAAAAGAAAAGTTTTTACTGTGTGACAATACTTATGACCTGACTCTGTATATTAGTAACATTTTAAATACGCTTACGCTAATACGATTTCTCGCATAATACGCCATTTTGCGCCAGTCATACATTTCTTAACGCTAAATACGATTCGTCATACCGTTTAATCATCATCATCATCATCAGCCTATTAATGTCCCCACTGCTGGGGCACAGGCCTTCCCTATGGATGGAATAGGGAGTTTAGGCCATGACCCCCCACGCGGGCCCAGTGCGGATTAGTGGGTACTAACGACTGCAAATGCAGCCGGGGCCGACGGCTTAACGTGCCTTCCGAAGCACGGAGGAGCTCTAGATAGTAAATTTTTGGTCACCCATCCAATGACCGACCACTGCGAAAGTTGCTTAACTTCAACGATCGCAGCCGAACGCGCTAGCCACCTGCGCCATCGAGCTCCTCTCCCGTTTAATAAATCGCCTAAATCGCCAACACGTTACCATCATTTATAGAAGACCCTGGCAAGCAACCCTTGACTATGCATGATGCAATTCTATACATCGCAGCAGCTTGGGAAGCAATTAAGCTTGAAACCATTCAACATTGTTTCAAGAAATCAGGTTTCAGAAATATTGAGATCGACTTCAAACGGCACAATAAGTGATTATTTTAAATAATAATGTGTAAGTGATTATTTTAAATAATAATGTAATAATAATGCACTACATTTTTTATAACGTACAAATTTCCTAAATATTGTACATATTTTATTACCTCAATACCTACATTCGAATTAATAATAGAATATAATCAACTAGCAAACCAGTGAACCAAATGTTCACCAAAACCTGATTAAAAAAAAATGTATTTAATTAATTGAGAACTTCGGAGATTTTGTGTGGTTTCGTTTGAAATTCGTGATTTCTCGAAAACCGGAAGTGCTACGTTACTCAAATCCGGTTTGTAGTCTTATCAGACTATTCTTAACTTATGACTTAAATATTCTCTTTATCTATCTCTTACGGTTTGGCCGCTGAAACAGCACCACAGACGGATGGACGGACGGACGGACCTGTATAATAGATAAGAGATGGTGATTTCGACTTCATTGCAACACAAATGTTCTAACCATATTTCAAGGAAAGTGCCAAATTGATGTACCTTTTAAACATTTTTTTAAAGTTTTGTTTTATTTATTTATTGAGCGAAAATTTACATAATATCTACCAAACTGCAATGCAGTTTGTCGACAGAGTTCTCGTAGAAACATTATCATATTTGTAATATGCATGCATCATACTATAATGCATGTTGACTGTAATCATAAGTCCTATAACTTAGATGCCTACTTTATTTAAAAATAGAGATTTGACACGATTGATTGAAGAATGCCTATACTGATAAAAAATGGATGCATGTAACTTATGTACGCGCGTGAGAAGTTATACTTCTTTAGCATCATTAAAAATATTTTTTAATTGCATGCAAATAATTAATAATTACAATAAAATAATAAAAGGACTGGAAAAGGATAGTTAACACAGTCAATTAAGTTCAGTTTTAATTTGAAAAATTAAATAAATATTCAAAATATTCAATTAACCACAAAGTGGTTAATAATCCACCATTATTAGACACGAACATTCATAACGCGCCCGCGGCCAACTTCATGGTGTTACTATTGTGTTACAGTGATGCGCGCGCATCTCGAAATTTCACTCACATGATTTTTTTCATAACGCGCCCGTGGCCAACTTCATGCTGTTACTTTCGGGTTACAGTGATGCGCGCGCATCTAAAAATTTCACTCTCATCATTTTTTCATAACGCGCCTAAAGAAGTATAACTTCAAAAACCACCATTTTCTCTTACCAGAGTGAAGTGGGCGCTTCAGCCAGCGGAAGTCAATGGTACACTTCTCATTCCACCAATGGAACAGCGACACCCCTCCCCACTGCCAATACCATAAACACGAATACGACCAACAACAATGTCAGTACGGAAACACCATCAGCTTCGCCCCTCCGGGAGTTACGGCAAGAGGTCAGTACTTAATAGAGATAAAACTTTAGAACTTTTATATTAAGGGTTCTTTACACATTTTTTGCAAAAAATCGTCATTTTTGAGCGCCTAGTTTACCCCCCTTGAAAAGATTTTGACTATTTCCTATAGAAGTAAACAGTAGAATTATTCTTCCTATTGTGAGTTAATGTAGAACATTTTCAAATACTATTTTCCTTTTTTTGTACTGATCGTTCTGCTGCAGCTAGTTTACGGAAAAAACGATAATAAACTTCAAACGCCTCAATCTCTCAATAATGTTCAATAAATTAGATCAATTTAATTACTAAGTCATCAAAAATATATTTTTGTTGTAACATAATGTATTAGAATTTTGATTTTCCATCTCGTTTATTAAAAAAACATCCAACCTCCGTAAGTTTTCCCAAAAAATAATGCAGGTTTACCTCATATTTTGATATTGAATTAAATAGAATTACTATCATAATCTTTCATAAAACTAATCTACCATCATTGAAATACTGAAATATGTATACGTTTTTATAATTAGTTCTGTTAGGAACAAAAGGGAGGTGCGAGTAAAAACACTCGATTGCGTACCCATCAGTCAGTCCGTCTTAAGTTAGCGAATGAATCGGTTCGGTGACAAAGTGCACAATTTGTCCGTCCCAGCCGCGTGGGCAATAGAATATTATAATAGCATCAGGTGTTCCTTAGTAGCCTATTAGGGCCCCCTGTGTTGTATGTGGTTTTTGAGTGGTAGTGAGTTTAAGTGTTCCCAAAACCCTGGATATTTCAAACACATTCGCTTGGCTTTGACCGGCGGATTCTGCTAAGGAGGAGCGCTCCTCCCCTCGCCGTTGTACTGAAGCCGCTGATGGGACACTAGTCTGTAAGTCCTTAGATTTTATATGTCCCTTTATTGGTAAAACCGATTATCTGCACTTTTTTTCAAAAATGAGTTATTTACACCAAGCTACTCAACTTTTTGAGCTCTATCTACAGGTAAAACCGATTTTTTGATACGATGCATAGTTTCCGAGAAAGATACGCAAAAAAACAACTATATTATGAGCTTTTAAGTAACATCTGCATTCAATAACAGCTAAAGTCTTATACCTGTGCAATTTTGTGGAAGCCTTGCAATCAAAACCACATTCCGTTTCATATCTTATTTTAGTTGCAATTTGCTTACACTCTGAGCATACTGTAGCGTTGTACTAATACAAATTAAAATACTTTAAATGGTTCTGGTTTTGTTGAATTATTGGAAAGTACTTAGAATCTTACACATTAAAAAGAGAGTAAGTAGTTCTACTTGCTTTTAACAGAACATAATGCTTCGTACTTGTGCAGATTTTAATTGAAGTAAAAGAGATTAAGAAGATTTATTTGTTTTTTCCACAACATCAGAGATCGTATCGTTAAGATTAAAATACAAGTAAAAGCAACTATGCTTAAATTGTTGTTTTTCATCGTAGCGTATGGTGATATTTCTACATAAATATTTTCAGCTAAAACCAAATATCGACCCTTGATCTTTTGTTTCACTTGCACTCCGAGCGCACATCTCTGACTTTTTTGTAGGAAAAATCGCCGGCCGGTTGTAGTGTTTCATACATAATCGCTGTTTTTGCTATTTCAGCCGCATGGATTTATTTTAGGTGACTAATTAGGTATAAATTGAATAATGCATTAATGTTTGGCAGAAAAGCTCTTAGCAAACATATATGTCGTTCCCTTCTATGGTGAAAAAGCATTGCTTAGCATAAGAGTGTCATGTCACCGAGCCATCAATCTGAGCTGGGTCCGTTATCACCCACCAAGCACTAGATTCATGTATATTGTGACGGGTATTGTCATTGTTTATGGATGAAACTAATAGTAACGCGACTGGACTTCACCTTCACTTAACATCAGGTGGGGTGGTGTCATTTGTCGCCTATCTATAAAAATAAAACGTAACAAATTCGCCAGTTCACCCCCCAAGTCAAGCGTGCCTAAAGAAGTTTCACTTCAAAAATTGTTATCAAGTCAAGTAATTTAAATACAATGAATTTAAAGACTTGAAAAACTGGCTTATACAATAATTTTGAATAGAACCAAAAACACAGATGGACGGGAAGTTAAATGGTTAAAAATAAAATTTACGTATGCGGACGACCTAAAGTTTGGGAAAATAATTGATTCAGTAGCTGATTCAGTACTACTGCAGTCAGATTTAGATGGGCTTGTGGTGTGGTGTAATCAAAACCGGATGAACCTTAATAATGCAAAATGTTTTGTGGTTAACTTTTCACGAAAAAAAAAAACAAAATTAATTGTGACTATCGTATTGAAGATACACTCGTTCAAGATAAAGATATAATTAGGGACTTAGGTGTTATTTACGATCACAATTTGACATTTGTGCCTCATAAATAAATATTATTAAAAGAGAATCTAAACTACTGGGATTCTTGATAAGAAGTACCAAACAATTTCGAAACCCAAAAACAAAAATAATACTATATTACAGTCTCATCAGATCTATCTTGGAATAATGTAGTGTAGTCTTTAAACCACATATGCCACCCATCCCCTCCGCATAAAAGTCAAAATATCTTTATTCAAATTGGATGCAAGGTACAACACTTTTGAATCATCCATACTTTTCCCCCTATGTGGACGGATAGAAAGGAAACAAAAAGATTCGTGCAAGTTTTGGCATTTTGCATTGGCAAAGCTAAGGATCTTGGGTCTTACACTGAAAGGCTAAGATTTGGAATGTTGTCCTTGACAGACAGCCGGGAATTACTAGATATTATATTTCTATCTAAAATGGTATAAAACACCACTGACTCTTCGCAGCTACTAGCACTCTTCAAATTCCGAGCACCATCTTAAATACCGCGCAAACCAATTACACAACTTTGTCCACCCTTAAGAACAACGGTACTTGGTTTCAACTCCCCATTGCGAGATTATCCTATACTCTAAACAAATATAGTGACATTGTCGACATACATCATGACTCTGTGATCTCATTGCGAAACAATCCTCCTACATATTCCTCCGAATTCATTAAAAAAATTTTGAAACATATTTAAAGAAACACACACCATACACACGATTCTACCATGATTCTCTAAACCTAAACTTAAATTTGACAACAGTATATCCTTCTCATTCTCTATAAAGAATGAAAAGGAGAGAATGATGTTAAATTTAGTTTTAAGTTTAGAGAATCACGCCAGAATCGACACCATTATCTGCTTAAGCTTAATGTAATGCATGTTGAGTTCGCCTATAAAGAGAGAAAAAAAACGCATAAAGTACATAAAATGAGACATAAAAATATACTATAAATATGACATGTCAAATTCATTTAATAAAAAAGGTAAATTTAAAAAATCAAAAAACCCGACTGCTTAATTATACTTCAAATAAAAACTGAAAAGAAAAAAACAAGTCCAGTAGTCTATAATTCTGTTAATAAGGAACAAAGCTACTTTAACAGTCGGGACCCATTAGATATTCAAGAATACATAATATTTTTCAACAGTGGGTCCCGACTGTTAAAGTAGCTTTGTTCCTTATTAACAGAATTATAGACTACTGGACTTGTTTTTTTCTTTTCAGTTTTTATTTGAAGTATAATTAAGCAGTCGGGTTTTTTTGATTTTTTAAATTTACCTTTTTTATTTCACACTTTTTAGTTAGTTAGTATTTTAAGACGGTATATACCGTAGTCTTGTTACTTCAGTAAGGGAATTAATATCGCGGGAATTATTAAGTACCTTAAGACAGTCTAAAAATGAATCTAATGATACCGCATACATATTTTTTTAAAGGGAAATTTAGAAAAAATATTATTATGTCTTTATCCCGTGGGACTTTTAGGATAAAATGTATCCTATGACACTCCCGTAATCAAGACAAATCTAACGATACCTCATACATCAAAATCCATCAAGCCGTTTAGGCTACAGGAGGTCACAAAGGAACAGACATACATACATACTTACATACACTCCCTAAACATTACCCTCCCTCTTTGGCAGTCGGGTAATAAATGCGAAGTGGCTGAAAAAGCTAAGGCTTGCAAATACAGGGGTCTAGGCTCCGAATATGATTTTGTCCCATTCGGTGTCGAGACCCTTGGTTCGTGGGGTCCTAGCGCTGGAGGGCTTTTTAAGGAAATAGCAAAAACGTTAGTCGACGTCACAGGAGACCGAAGAGGTGGCAGGTACCTCGGACAAAGAATTAGTCTAGCTATTCAAAGGGGGAACGCTGCCAGTATCTTTGGAACCTTGCCTAAAGGGACTCCTTTTAATAATGTACTTTAGTTATTATATATTTTAAAGTTTTTTAGTTTTAGTTATTACATTATATTTTTTTAGATTCTTAGTTTAATGCAATATGACAATCAAATTGTTTTGTATGAGTACTTAGAAAATCTAAATTAATTCATTTTTTAACAGATTGTTTTGAATAATTAGATAAAAATTAAAAATTTCTAATAAAGTTGATTATTTCCTAATATAACATTCTTATTATTTTACTACTTTATTCAATTGTTACTTTCATGTAAGTAATGATTTTTTGGTATTTTTATAATTATAAAAATAACAATGACCAGGTTTTGACTAGTTCGTTGTATAACTATGAACATTTTGCAGATAGTTTACCACAATTCTTTATTTTACTCAAGCAAAACCAATTATATTTTTTTAAATTTCAATTTGTAGAATGTTTCAGAGTGTTATTTTTACAGTTATTTTTGGTACCTTATTATTTTCTTGGAAAAATTCCGGTGAAGCTATAAGATAAGCTGCAAGTGATTTAATTAATGATATATATACTTATGTCGTTATTCAGGAACAACCAATTAAATGACCTCCCTAAAGATAGGTTTTGGCATTTTTTCAAGCATTTTCAATAAATTACTACTATTTTTATGATTTACAAACATACTTTATTAATTTTTTCATTCAAATTACATGATTGCAGTTAAAATATATGAAATTTAGTTACATAT